TTATTGATTCCATTTGTTTCCTATGTTGGGATTCCATCATGTTCCAGAGCTCCTCTCCAGATTTATTAATCATGTCTTGCACTATGAGCACAATCTCCACTGTTATCTGTGAAATTATTTGTGATTTCATTTTTTCCAGATCCTCTTTTGTTGCCAGTTCAGGGAGTCCAGGTGCTTGAGTATCAGAGTGTTCCATCTCATTTCCCTTTGGGGTTACTGTAGGTGATCTCAAAGTCTGGTTTTGAGACTTGTTTACCTGTCTTCTCCTTTTGATAGGGGGGTGGTTGCTACTGTCGCCCTCGGGGCTCACCTCCTCTGCTCTGGGGCGGTGGTACCGCGGCCTGGAAGCCTCCTCCTCTGCACTGGGAGTGGTCCTGTGGCGGCCCAGAAGCCTCCTTCTCTCGTCTGGGAGCGGTGTATGGCAGCCTAATGAGCAAGCTCCTAGAGGTTTCAGTCCATAATCAGCTGACTCCAAGGCAGGAATGACAAACAGAAATGGCAGAGCAGAAGCAACATGGTATTCACAAGGCAGCAAACGTGGCAAGAGAACTGATAATTATGTTTTAATTGACCTAGTCAAGAAATTGCTGTCTATAGTAACCAGTATTTCAGATTTTTTTCCCTAGTTTATTTGGATACAAGTTTATAGAGGAATCACCTTAAACCAGGTTTTATAAATATAGCACACTTGTAATAGAGTTTATTACCTTATGGTTATGCTATTCAAAATGAAGCATTTAAAATCTTTGCCATAGATCCTAATAGGAAAATAAATGTATGAATCAAATGGAGAAACAGTCTGCACAGAAAAGTCTGGGTTTTCCCTCTTGAAGCTGTATGTTACATCATTTATTTTTCTGTTTGTGTTTAATATCCCAAAGTTGTGGGAGTCAGTGAAGCATATGAGGATGCAGCCAATTGTCTCTGGTTGTTAACTAACTCCAAGCCTTGTGCTAACTGTAAATCTCCAATACAGAAGAATGAGGGCTGCAATCACATGCAGTGTGTTAAGGTAAGAAGGCAAAGAGTATTTTTTGTGCTTTGTGGTTGGAATGTTAATCTGTCAGTCCAAAGCAGAACTATTACTTTACTCGTGAAACTATCAATTAAATAAGTAATTTAGTACTATCTTGGAAATAAAAATGCCAACAAAGATCCACATGGCCACAAAATTAATATAAATAATTTATTTTAGAGAATTGAAGGCTAATAAAATATATCTTCCTGGTTTCTCACTCAGAAAGAAACTACCAAATGTTTAAAACAAATATTCTGGAATTAGCTTAGTAACATTTTATTATTCCATACCTACATTTGTAAACTTTTTTGTCTTAAAATTATTTTATATCCTATATTTTTCCTTTTTATGGGTATTGTCAGTTTTTAAATGATTATTTAATATTATGTAGAGGATGATGTAATTTTCTGTAATTTGAAATAGGAAAGAAACTCAAATTAAGATTCCAATAAAATATATTATATCCGTATGTTCTAAGATTAGCTTGAATATTTAACATTGTAGCTTAGTAATCATTATCATTATAACTTGCAAAGAAGTGGCAGTTACCAAATGATTTTACAAGTCTGCATTATTATGAAATTAATGTAAATGAATTGACCTAGTGAGGGAGCAATAATGATTCCCTAAGGGCCATTAAGAAAAACCTAGTGCAGTGTCCTGAGCAAAATACACAGACATGCCTATTAGTTCAGCTAAGGATTGGACCAGAATTCTTTCAGCTCATTTTAGTGTTTCCTCCAACATCAATATTTTTCTCCATGCCCACCCTGCCTTGGAAAATTTGATGTAATCTAGATGTGTGAGGAAGTATAGATTGACCACAAATATCAGCAGTTGGCTGCTGAGATAAAATCGAATTATCTTTATTTCCTTCCTAGCATTTGCCAGTAGTAATTAATAAGTATGTATTAAGAAATATTTTCTTAAAAAAATAAAATAAAATAAAGAAATATTTTCTTGAATTAATTACACTGACATAAAAGTAATCCAACTTAAACAGATTTTGCTGAAACTTCTGTTGCATTTAAAACAAACATTTATATACTTGCTCTATAAATGTGGCAGTCTTAATATCTGAAGTGTTTTCATTGAAAATAGAAACTGAAAGTCAGTTTTTGTGACATTGAAGGCCTACCTAGCACATAATAACATTGCTGCAGCAAAATCGAACACTTTTATTTTATTCTATTTTATTGTTTGGTACTGGGGATCAAACTCGGGACCTTGTGCTTTTGAGACAGGCACTGGAACCACTGAGCTAAATCCTCAGCCCTAAAATCAAATACTTTTAAACCATTATTTAAATATGTTGGTGGGCAGGGGATTTAGCTCAGTGGCTCCACCGCCTGCCTTGCAAGCACAAGGTCCTGAGTTCTATCCCCAGTACCAAAAAAAAAAAAGATAAAATGTTGGTGGAACATGTTATGTATAACTGAATCCATGCTTTGACACAGAGACCAAATCATAGTATACCTTTATTAATACCTCAGTGTTATCATTCAATAGGCAGTTTTTGCTTTCTGGAATCAAATGTGTTAAGCCTTTTAGCAGAAAGAAAAATTTGGTCCTCTAAAAAAAATGGTTTATTGTAAAAACATGGTTTATTCTATTTACTTTCCCTTACATATGATTTTTTGAATGTATTTAAATTTTTTGTTAAATATTTTAAATCACTTACAATGATTTTCTGTATCTGATTTGTATAAAACTATATTCTATGACTAAAAAATAAAAATTATTTAAGTTCTATATTTTTTCTCCATTCTGGAAGATAATATTTACTAAGGTATAGGTTATTTTTATACACATTAAAACTCTCTGAAAATGTGGACTGTGCCATCTTTTTAAGTACTATGGAACATTTACAAAAAAAGTGACCATTGATTATCAAAGAAAACTTCAGTTGTATTCCAGAAAGTAAAAAATAGTGGAAATAACATTCTCTGGTCATAAGAGAATAAAGTAGAAATTAATAATAAGTTACAAAAGGCTTTTCACTTAGAAATTTTAAATGTTTCAAGCAACTGAAGTAAAAAAAGAAATGAAAATAGAAATTAAAGAATTTGTATAAAATAAAACATTTTATCAGAACCTGAGGGCTATAGCAAAGCAATGCTCAGAAATAAGTACACACCCTTGTCTATCTAAAAGAGTATAAAATGAAAAATGAATTAAGGATGTAATTTTAATATTTAGAAAAACAAATGAAAGAAGAGTAAGAAATTTTTTTTTTGGTGCTGGGGATTGAACTCGGGTCCTTGTGCTTGTGCAACAGGCAGCAAAACCACTGAGCTAAATCCCGGGCCCCAAGAAATTTTTTTTTAATTAACAAGTTAAAAAAGAAAACCAATGCAACTATAAATAAATCCAAAAAGAGGTTTTCTGAAGAAAAAATAAGATAGAAAAACCAGGAAGGTAATAAAGAAAAAATAAAGTTGAGGGAGTTGAAATATACAGTATGAGAAATAAAAGAAATAATCAGAAAAACATAGCAACAAATAATAAGGAAAAACTTTGTTCTACCCTTGCAGATATAGTTCAAATTGGATTTGAATGGATTAATTTTGTGAGAAAAAGTAATTTATTAAAACTGACTGTAAAAGAAAGAAAATCCAAATATACTCATTCCCAGAGAAGGTTTTTTGAAGATCTCCACCTTAGACCTCCTTAAAGATCCTCCCCTCTTCAGCCTTCTAAAAGGAGCCCTGAGTTTCGCAGTAGAATTCTACCAAATCTTTAAGAAGCAGGCAATTCCATGGTTACTTAATTGTTCCTGGGATTTTTTTTTTTAATTTTTAAAGAAATTTTCAAGTTATTTTTATAAATTAAGTCAAACCTTACTACTTTTTTTTTTTTTGGTACCGGGGATCGGACTCTGGTCCTTGCACTTGCAAGGCAGGCAACAAACAGAACCACTGAGCTAAATCCCCAGCCCTAGTAAATCAAACCTTAATGCCGCTTATCAAGATTATAATATTAAAACTGTAGGCTAATTACTTATAAATAATAATGCAGATATCCTAAGAAGATATTAACGAGGACCAAAAAGAAAAGAGAAAAACAGATAATAGCAAACATAACCCAGTAGAACACATTAAGAGTAACTGACCAAGAAGAGTTTATTCCAGTAAGACAAGAACACTTCTGTATCAAGGTAGCTGCTGCTGTACCTAATCTTTCTACCAGTGTTTTCCATGTTGAAAGACATTTAACAAAAAAAAAAATCAGCAACCTCTGTTTATAAAATTTGGGTAGAGACAATAGATTCTTCCTAAAAAATGATAAAAATAAATTGCCTCAGTCTAAAAGCTAGTATATTTAGTGGAGAAACTAAAGACAAATCTCCCTATATTTAAAAACAAAGTAAGGATGCTGTCCGTCACCAATATTATTAGCATTGCAATGATGATGTTGGTCAGCTTAGACAACAGGAGGAAATGAGACATATAAAACTTAGAAATGTGACAATAAAATTATCACTTTTTGCAGATGGCATAATTATATGCCTAGAAAAGAATCCACTGAAAAACTACAAAAACAAAAATTTAAGTATCGGAGTATAAAATTAATATATAGAAAGTAGTAACCTTAATATGTACCAATAACATCCAAATAGAATATATACTAAGAGACTTCACTTATCTAAAAATAAATATGCCAGATTTACATTGCAAAACTGTTAAAACCCCCTTTAGGACACATAAGATGGAAATCAAATGGAAAGGCAACAAAGTTCTTAAATTTAAAAATTCCAACAAAACTACCAGGTTTTGTTTTCTCATCAAGGTAGACTTAATTCAGAGGTTATATGGGAAGTCAAAGCAAGAGTAACTAGGGAAACTTTGAAAAGTACCAGTAAGAGGAAACTACCATGTGAAATAGTAAGCTATATTATAAATCCTCAGTAACTAAAACAGTATGGTGCTGGCCCCCTATAAATAAACAGATCATGAAAACAAAACATGAGCAAATCCAGAAAATAGATACAATGTGTGGGAGTTTATTCATGGTAACAGTAGCATCCTTAACCAATGGAGAAGCATGAACTATTCAGTAAATACTATTAGGATAACTCTGGGCAGCTACATGGGGAGAAAAATGAAGTTAAATTTATGCTGCATACTACATATTCAGATAAATTTCTAATGGCTCAAAAACTTAAATGTTTCTTTAAAAAAAATAAACTAGTACCAAAAGTACTGGTAAAAGTACCAGAAGATAACATATACTTGGAATGTAAAGATCTTTCTACCTAATTCAGAATCCATAAGCACAAAAGAAAAATATGTATTTTCAAGTACATGAAGTTTTCTTTAAAATGAGAAATAGATTTTATGTCAGCTATTTTACTTAGAGGCCTTTTAAACTTATTCCAGTTTTAAAACAAATTTGTCAAAGTTGCCAGAGTTTTTCAAATAGCCGGGTGGGACTATAGACCAACCAGTGTAAGATTCTACCACATACTTGAAAAATGAAACATTCATTCAGTACTTGTTTTATTATTGGGAAGAATGTCCTGTTGATTTTTTTTCCCCAGTACTAGGGATTGAACCCAGCCCCCCCCCACCCCCCCATGTAATACTGAGCTACATCCCTAGTCTTCCTGTTGATATTAATGATTCTTTGTGATTACTTTATAATATTATGGTTTTCATTTAAATTTATCCTTTCAAACAGTTTTAAACTACCCCCCACATCTTGCCATAATGCAGATAAAATATACAGTGAAAACATGAGGGCATGTCTTTAAGACTAGTTTCTGGTCACACAGACAGGATTATTCAATTATTACGTACTGGTTGACTGAAAAGCCAACTATCATTTGCATGTTCATATAGGAAGATGTTTGCATATGTTTTCTTTTGAAGTGCAAGTATGATTTTTGCTGGATTTGCCTTGAAGAATGGAAAAAACATAGTTCTTCCACTGGAGGTTATTACAGATGTACTCGCTATGAAGTCATTCAGCATGTGGAGGAGCAATCCAAGGAAATGACTGTGGAGGTAAAGACAACTGATTAAACCAAGACCTTTGTCTAAGCCACTTAATACCATTAGAATTATTTTGCACTTCTTTTCTTACCTTCATTTTAATGAGGTACTAAGTTGAATATACTTTAGAGTATCCTTACATTCTTCCAAGTTTTCCTTTTTCTCTTTGATGAAGATATGAAAATTCCAGTCCCAGTCTGCTTCTGTAAAAACTTAAAAACAGGGCCAGGGATTTAGCTCAGTGGTTTCGCCACCTGCTGCGCAAGCGCAAGGACCCGAGTTCAATCCCCGGTACCAAAAAAAAAAAAATTAAAAACAATTTTAACATAATATTAATAGTGCAACATTATATTATAGCATGCAATAATTATCTTAGTCACTCAGCCACCACTGAGTGAATGGCAACAGAAATTTATTTCTCACATTTCGAGAGGCTGTGAAGCCCAAGATCAAGGTTCCAGCTGACTAGCTCTTGGTGAGCATGCTCATCTTGGGTTTGTAAACAGCCAACCACCTTTTTGCCTGTGTACATCACATTGCCAAAGAATGAGATAGAGCTTTAGTGTCCCTTCCTCTCATAAGGGCACCAGCCCTATCAGAGTAGATCCCCACACTCGTGATCTTAAGTAACCTTTATCACCTCTTCATAAGAGTTAGGGTTTAAATAAATGAATTTTGGGGGGAAACAGATCAATCCATAGCAGCAAGCCATATAATAAAACATTGAAGGGGCCGGGGATGTAGCTCAGCGGCACAGTGCCTGCCTGACAAGTGGAAGGTACTGAATTGGATCCCTGGTACCCCCCCCCCCGAAAAAAAATTGAAGATAGGTTCAGTGGTTTACCACAGACAATACAAATGTAAGACTTTGTTCTGGGAGACTTTAAAATTGGTTATTATTTTCTCACAATGAAATAATCAACAAATTTGGTATGCATTACTACCTATTCTAATAAAAATTTTAAATGATCCCCCTAAAATCAATCTTATTAAAGTCATTTATGGACTTTTGTTTCCTAGGCTGAGAAAAAACACAAACGATTTCAGGAACTTGACAGATTTATGCACTATTACACAAGATTTAAAAACCATGAGCATAGTTATCAGGTATGTCCCAAATCTTTTCAGATGAGCCGAACTGCACTATTGTGAATAAATAAAGAGGATGGTTTAAATTATTTATTTCTGTTCCTTTAGTTAGAACAACGCCTTCTTAAAACAGCCAAAGAAAAGATGGAACAATTGAGTAGAGCTCTCAAAGAAAGTAAGTTCTCAGTGGTATGTGTGATAATTAATGTAGAATATCCTTCCATGCTCGGTCAGCTCACTGGTAGGAGATTAAGGCCCTAGAGGATGTATTATAGCCGTTATTTTCTTCTGGTACTGCTTTAGTTCTCTGAAGCCCCAAGGGCAGCCTAGAAGAAGAAGTCTCCATCTTTGCATTGACACCTAGTCTGCTGCTCTTAACACAGCCTATGCGGTTAGCAGATAAAAAGGAAAAACACATCGTAGTTTTGTTTACTGCAGATGATCTGCAGTACTGGGAAAGTTAGTAGATCCTGAAGGGTGGCCCTGGCCTCCTCAAAGAGAAAAGGATACACATGCTACCCAACTGTCACACAACCAAATTCTTAAGAAACCTAGATTCTTGAGAAAATTTAGCAGACTGCCTGCTGAAGTAGAAGTCAAGTAGAGATTGAGGAGAAATCATATTACTAGTAAATAATTAAATCAAGCTTTAAAAAAAGCAAAGCCATGAGAGTGGCTAATTTTTGAATCCTAAGTTGAAAGTTATAAAAGAACATTCCTAAATATGGATTGAGTGGCTATATCAGTAGAATATAACACCCCACAATGATCTCACAGGATACAGGTATTTATTTTTTAAATTACTATTTTGAAATAATTATAGCTTATATTTGAAAGGTGTATTTTAAACCTAAAAAATGTAAGTAATTATATTTGTTCCCATTCATAAAATAATGAGTACAAACACCCTTATCGTGAGAATAATCTCCTAATAAAACCATAGCCATCAGTTAAATTAGAATGGGCCAAAAGTGTCAATAGCAGTTTAGTCTCATTATATATTAGTTTATAGACATTATTGGTCATATAACTGTATCACATCAATACCAAACTCTGCAAGTATCTTCCACAGTAAAATTGAAAAGAGTATATATGTCTTTAATAGGGATGTGTGTCTGTTTTGTCTCTAACGTATCCCTGGTGTTTGAAATTGTTCTTCACATACAGTAAATGAGTAAATACAATGAAATTACTACTTTTGTTCAACATTCTGGAGGTTCCAGGCAGCACGGTAATAAAATATGCAAAAGAATTAAAAGATGTGTAAGTTAGAAAGGAGGAAGAACTTCACACACTTCTCACACATATCATAATGGGGAAGGAAGAAGAGTGGGTAGTTTGTTTTGTTTTTACATCCTAGTCAGATACCTACCCTAGATACTGAGTGTACTTAGAAATTTTAGGGTAGTCTATATATCAGTTTGTGTACATATACATGTAATTTCTTTCTGAAGACATGCAGAATAATACGATTGTCAACAGCACTTAGTAGATCCTACAGCTTAATTTCTGTTGATTTGCAGCTAAAGAAAAAGCTAAAATATTGTAATATTTTTTCCTTTTTAATAAAATTTCTTTTTCCCTGCTGGTCCTCTTCCTAGATTTCCTTTCTTTTTCTTCTTCAAGTTTTTTTATTTACTAGCATTAGTTATCCAATTGTTCCTCAGGATGTGAGATCTTTTCGCTTGGTGTTTTGTTTTGTTTTGTAGAGGCATAATTATATAGCTTGTATATAGAGAAATTAATATTAAAATATGTGTGATTATATAGACTAGAGAGAGAGAGAGTTATTATATAGACCCTATAGAGAGAGAGGTGTAATTAAGCTACTTAGCAAAGAAAGACATTGTTTCTAACTCTTAAGCAACAAATTCCTCTAGGGATAATCTCAAAAGTTTAGTAAAGTAAACCTTTGTGTTGACATAAAGCTACATTTCTGTACCAGGATGGTGAAAAAGAGTGCAGGATGATTGTTTGCTTTCCTTCATAGCTTCAGGGATCCAGGGACCTGTGCTTTACTCATAAATACATACATGTCACACATGAGTGTTTTCTATAGGGTTTTAGTCAAGTTCAAATAAATATCATACAGCTACTTCAAATAGTTCCTTTAAAGGAATTTTTAAAAAAGAAAACAATTGTTTAATTTTATAATATTTAAAAAAAAATAATTTCACTCTACCTCACTTACTTTATAGCTGAAGGAGGCTGTCCAGATACCACTTTCATTGAAGATGCAGTTCATGTGCTCTTAAAAACTCGGCGTATTCTCAAGTGTTCTTATCCATATGGATTTTTCTTAGAACCTAAAAGCACAAAGAAAGAAATTTTTGAACTTATGCAAGTAAGACACCTTTTAAAATTACATGAAAATGGTACCAGTTATTATTATGAAAACAGATTTTTCAGCCTCTTAAATTTTCACTGATTTGGGTGTGACTAGTAATTTTTCTTTTTAAAATGATTTTTGTTTTTAAAGTTACTGATAATAAACTGAAATTTTCTTTATATTTAAATGTCATTATAAGTTCGGGTGAATTCAGAGCTGTGGTAACATTTCTTAAAGCATTTCTTTTTTGTTTCAAGCTAATTGAGGTTGAAATCTGGCCTACTTACTGATAATTATATAATAAGAATTTTATCTTTACAGATGAAACAACCACATTACATACTACATTAGAAAATTACTGTTTACCCATTTATTTTGAAAGTTGCGGTATTAAAGAAACAAAAACACCTAAGCCAACTGACATCACCACAGCCAATGAACTTCATTGTAAATTCTTCTTTTCTTTGAAGTCACCAGACTTCCCCATTATAATTTTCATAGCGTCCTTTTGATCTGCCCTGTGCTTAACATGTATCTCACATTTCTTTCAATGCTCAAAATTCATTTTCTCCATAAAGCCTTTCAGATCTAACCCCAAATCACAGTTGTCTTGCTTTGCTTCAAATTCGTTAACCATGTAAATGTAATCTGCATCATGGCATGATGTATTTTTTGTGCCGTGCTTTGAAATAGTTTTTTCACGTAGACAAATTATGAATTCCTTGTAACAGCTGCTATACTCAGCAACTTCTTCATAATCTCTAACAACTGCATTGCTACTAATGCTTATCAATTGAGTGCTATTTTCCTGGGTTTAAAATAACTTCATATATATGATCCTTTCTCTTTCCTAATGTGGAAAAATGTACAAAAATAAAAATATGTGAAATAAGAAATCATTTCAAAATTTGAATTTCTGACTTCAAGAGAGTTAAATTTAACTGAGAAACCAGATAGACTCTGGATTTGTTATTTATTAACCCACTCATCTTTTTATTTTCTTCTTACCATAGACAGACCTAGAAATGGTTACTGAAGACCTTGCCCAAAAAGTCAATAGGCCTTACCTTCGCACACCTCGCCACAAGATTATCAAGGCAGCATGCCTTGTGCAGCAAAAGAGGCAAGAATTCCTGGCCTCTGTGGCTCGTGGAGTTGCTCCTGCAGACTCACCTGAAGCTCCAAGGCGCAGGTAAAAGATATACACTGCAGAGACCATCCTACCTTGAGAACAAATCGCAGCAGTTTTATTTTTTATCCAACTATACCTCACATTCTTGGAAGTTATTTACACCTGAAACATGGATAGTTGGGCTGGGGATTTAGCTCAGTGGTTCCGCCACCTGCTTTGAAACATGGATAGTTGATAAAGTATGTTAACTTCTTTTTGATGATATTTTCCCTCATTATTTCTATTTTTCATGGTGTTTCTTTTTTGTTGTTTATTGGTGTATAGTTCGTCAGACTAAATTAGGCTAGGTTAATTTCACATTTCAAGTGAACTCATAATTCAGAATCATTCTAATGCACCATTTCAGATGTGTAATAGATATAGTCATGTCATGACTGTCATAGATGTGATGTAGAATTTGGAAACTGCCAGCTTGTTATTGTCATGTTTTTACTTTTGTCTTGGGAAGTTGTAAAGAAATGAGAAATCTGCTATTAGTAAAGTTATTTAAGCAATCAAGATGCATCCCTAAAAGAGCAATTATTTTGCTTGTTTTAAGATACTTATACTACTTCTGCCATTATAAATTGAAGCATATTTTCATATTCATAATGACTATGAGCATTAGAAATTTCTTTGGCCTTATTTTTACCTAAATATTTATAAGTAATTTTATTATTAAAAATAGGAGCAGTCGTAAAATACTTTGTTGTAATGTGGTGATTTTTATTTTTTTCATTATTTTGCACCATTATAAAACAATTTAGAATTTGAAAAAAATAATGAAATTTTCTTTTCTGTTATATATTAATAGTCAATCTGCTTTGGTTAAGGAAGTTCTAAGTAGAAGAATTAAAAGTAATACTCAAGGGCCAGGGATTTAGCTCAGTGGTTCTGCTGCTTGCCTCACAAGCACAAGGACAAGGACCCAAGTTCAATCCCCAGTACCAAAACAAAAAAGAAAAAAAGAAAATAATACTCAAAGGGCAAACGTCTAGTTGGATGTTCTTCATAGTACTGATAATAATCATGTGGTATGTCTAATTTCTTTGTAGCTTTGCTGGTGGAACATGGGATTGGGAATATTTAGGATTTGCATCACCTGAGGTAATTGTTTTGTAGGGTGGGATTTTTTGTTGTTGGTTTTGTTTTGTTTTGGTTTTGTATATATGTGTGTTTTTTATATTTTCTCCTTAGTGCAACCTGGCTTGCATTTGCACCCTCATCTATGCTAAAGCCTGCTGAGAATATCAACAATGCTTTCTCTGTATTTTGTAACAAAAATGCCTCAGCAGAGCCTACAATTAGCTATTTTGGGGATAGGAGTATTAACATATTGTTAAATGCATCCCACTTTTATTAACTAATCAACAGAATTTGACCAATTTATAGCATGGAGTTTTGGAAGATATCTTCTAATTTGTTAATAGGAATATAATGTTTATTAACAATGTGTTTCTAGTTTACTGTTATTTCAGTCTGAATCTATTAAAAAACCTATTTGAAATTATTGCAGCAACAAAGAGTATGTATAATCAATTGCTAAGGTGAAAAATTTCACAGTAATAACATTTATGCAGAAAGAAATGCTTTGCTCAGTTGCTTTTTTCTTCCCTTTCAAACTCTGACGCTTCTTGTTTTTTTCCTCATTGTTTTGATGTGTCATTTTAAAATACAGAATACTGGGCTGGGGATTTAGCTCACTGGCACTGTGCCTGCCTTCCAAGTTCGAGGTCCTGAGTTTGATCCCCAGTACCGGGGAGAAAAAATTAAATAAATAAAATACAGAATATCTGAAACACATAACACTACAAGTAGAAATTGTGGCAAATAGAAATATGATAATGAAATCTTAATTATGCACTTATCTTCTAAGATTTAAATTCCCATTGTCACTGTTATATATGATTTTTAAATAATCTTACCATAGCAGTTCTCCCTACTTCTCTCTCCTTTGCTCCTTTTTAAATAGTATTCCATTTGGTGCTATTTTAATGGTAATCCTTCATTTTGATTGTTTGGAAGGCAGCAGATCAAATGATGAAATCTTCATGTATCATTTATAGCCCATTTGCTTTCTGAAACTGAAAGATAGTAAAAGTTATTATCTAGAAAGTGATTGAGGCTTACTTAAATACTTTCTTTTTTCAACTTGCAGTTACCTTGTAGTGTTTGTATTGGTAGGTATATATATCCAATAAAATACTGACTTAAGAAAACAATTTGTGCTTAGAAATGTGGAAATTTTAACTTCGTGCAATTTGCAAAAAATTTAATATATTGATGAAATTTTTGTTATAAAAGAAATTAACTTTTTTTTACCTGATCCTAGATGTATTTTCTGTTATATGATTACAGGTTTGGGGATATTGTGGACAATTTCTACCTAAAAGGAGAAATAAACAAGCTTCATTTACCAAAAAACACATCTTAGCAAATATTAAACCTTTGTTGGAGTATTCACAATTATGTTTATATATCATCTTGCAGCTTCTGGCTCTGATAGTAACTTTAGGAACCCTGAAATATTTGGCCTACTGATATGACTGACTGGCTCTTGAACTTACTTTTTATGAATTAATAAATTTTAGAAAAATTATTTAATTCATTTATTATTCTTTAAAGTTGTTGGCACAATGAAATGCTACCATGCTTTTATGTAAACTTTTCTGAAAATCTAAAAAATTACTCATGTTATTAGACTTTCAAATTCTGCGTGTATGTGACTATCAAGAAACTGCCAAAATTATAGGGTTTTTGTTTTTGTTTTTGTTACTGGGGATCGAACTCAGGACCTGGCACTAGTGAGGCAGGCGGCAGTGCCACTGAGCTAAATCCCCAGCCCCCCAAATTATGTTTTTAAGAATTAACTTTTTGCCTTAGACTGTGGGAAAAAAAATGTTACCAAACTCCAATAGATTCTTAGGTTAAATTTTCATTTTTCCAATGAAGTTAATTTCATCTTACTCTCTTTAAATTAAATTGCATAAGTCTACGACAGGCACAAATACTTGTTTCCTACCACTTTACAGATAGTAGAGCTGGGCAGAAAGAGCATAGTCTCAAAGTCTGAGAGACATCTGAATTTAAATTCTAGTTCTGTAACTTATTCAGATCATAAACTGTGTTCTTCCTTGATTTCTCATCTTTAAAATATGAATGGTGATACCCCGTGGAGGTTCTGGGAAAAGTAAAGCATCTTACTAAGGCACTCACAAAATTGGTGCTCAGTAAGTACTGGCTATTGTTATTAAAAAAGAAACCCCTGGTAGCTTTTTTCCTATAAATTCTAGAACTTTTAAGTCTTCTCTGTGGCCTAACCTTTTCATATGCTTTCTTGAAGATATTAAAATTCCTTGGAAGTTTTCAGATAATTTTCTGAGAACAGTTTTTTTTAAACCTACTTCATAATGAGAGGATGCCATTCTAGAGTTTCTGTCAAAATAATTAGAAATATAATAGGTTTCTTTTGCTTTTTTTTTTACTGGGTATTGAACTCAGAACCTTGCGCTTGCGAGGCAGGCGGTGGAACCACTGAGCTAAATCTCCAGCCCTTTTGCAGTTTTTTTAATTGTGTAGTTTTCCTAAATTGGAAATGTGCATATTCTGACAGTAAAGGTTGGTCATGTAGAATAACTTTATACTATTATCAAGTCTACAACGTAAGCAAATTCTCAGTAAATTTAAACTGAGATAAAATTTTCATACCCTGTTCGTGTAAGAAAATGATCCTCAGTGAGCCATGATGACACATAACAAATCATCCAGTTTAAGATCGTGGTCCTTTAGGAAAAGTAGAAAAGATGTCTCTACTCTGCAGGAAATTTTAAAGTACCTAAGTAATCCTTCAGGGCCCTTAAAGTGTCTTTCATTCACTGATTTCTAACATAGTAGGATTTCTTCCAACTCTTATTAAAGAGTCCAACTAAACTTAGATAGAGTTTAAATTTAACGAGTGGTACCCAGGCGTGGTGGCTCATGCCTGTAATCCCAGCACTCGGGAGGCTGAGGCAGGAGGATCACTATGAGTTTGAGGCCAGCATGGGCTACATAGTGAGTTCAGGGCCAGCCTGAACTACAAAGGGAGACCCTGCCTCAAAAAACCCAATAAATAAATAAATAAATAAATTTAACCAGAGTGATATGATGAGAAAGTTTTGTGATAAAAACTGTTTCTTCACTTATCCTAGTCCTTTCACCATATAAATATATTGAATATCCTAGAGTAACTGAAATAATCATAAACCAAATTAGTGTTTATCTTTGGAAGATTATACAGTCATTCTCAAAATTAGTCCTTTATGCTGATATCATACACCCTAGCTTCTCTTTTAGTCTTGTTTCTTCTGTTACTAAAACCTGGAAAAATACATTTATACCCAGCTAACAGTCAATGGTCATAACAAACCTACCTTAAACTGTTGTCATAAATGTAATAGACTTATGGACATTTGCCTAAATCTGTGCTGTTCCCACTTGCAAAATAGAAAACATTTCCCTATCCTGTGTTGTAGATAACACCACATATTGGCTAATAAGGGAAGGAAGCCTGCTAATATCTTCTTTTAAAGCTACCCTTTTTCTCCTAACTAGTCATTTCACTTGTGTTTACAGTATGTAGTAATTCCAAAGAATAGAAAATTCAGCAACCTGGCAAGTACTTAACTCTGTGTGTGTGTGTGTGTGTGTGCGCTTGCGCGTGCTTGTGTGTGTGTGGTTTTTGTTGTTCTTGTTGTTGTTGTTGTTGTTTCTTTTTTACCTCTCCTGTGACTGTGTTGCATATATCAGAGTCACTTTTTAGGCACTCCAGAGAACGCCTAACGTATGTTGGTAAAATGGTTGTAATATTTATTATAAATTAAATAATAAGACCCTTGAAATCATCAGATATCTGAAGTAATAGTTATAATCTAGCATTGGGCCTTCAAGTATTCCAAATTTATCTAGGCAGTTATAATGACTATTTGAAAATTTTCTTTTTCTAGTTTGCCTTTTCCATTTTCTCAGCATGGCAAAATTTGAAGTTTTTTTTTTCCATAAACCCAGGTGATTTTATAATATGTATGTAAAATCATGCATTTTCCCCTTGTGGGGGGGTCTTTGTTTTATTTGCATTTTAAAAATTGCATGCTCTCCTGTATTTTATAACCTTTGGTTTATGCAGGAATATGCTGAATTTCAGTATCGGAGGAGGCACAGACAACAGCGCCGTCGAGGAGATGTGCACAGTCTGCTCAGAAATCCTCCAGACCATGATGAGCCAAGTGAAAGCACTGTAGGTAAGCTGCAGCCCAGGGTGGGATCATGTCCTAGTTCTCCTGAGTCTTTAAAACTGACTGATGTCAGTGTTTGTGAGTTTATAATTCAGATACATGATAAATGTGTAGCTGCTTCTACTGTTTTGGGATACAAAAAGCAGGGGGATTAAGAACGTGTATGCTGGAGTCAGGCAAACCTGGGTTCACAATGCCATCTTTGCTGCAGATTGGCTGTGTAACTTGAGTTAGGTCACTTAACCTGTCTAAGCTTCTGTTTCCTCTTTCTGAGGAACCCATAGCTGTGCCTGCTGTGTACTCACTGTGAGTGGTAAATCAGATAATGTGTGGAAAGCACTGAAGCACCTCAGGAGCACTGAGTAAATGGTCACTGTTGATACTGTGACTTTGCTTATGGAATATTTTTGTCCTAGCCTGTGTTCTTTTAGAGACATTCTTTAAAAGAGAGTTATTTTATTTGACAAAATTTACATTAATTGCAAATCTTCAAACTATAATGTCAGGATCAATAGTACTAAAGATTTGTTTTTCAGGTCATTGTAATTTCCAGATTCTCTTAATTTTAAGAGATCTGAAAGTGAAAATACCTTTGTTACTACTTGAGAAAAATAACAGAAATGAATAGTAGCACTCACAGTCATGAAGAAAACCCTATAGAGTGCCAACAAATGTAAAAACCAGTCATGTATATGAAGTGAATAGTAGTAGATATTGCTTACAGTGAGACACATATGGCTGAGAAATCCTAGAGAGATACAGGTTCACTAGCAGTGAAAGAGAAATTGCCAATTTAAATAATAAGATGGGCTGACCATGGTGTTACACGTTTGTAATCCCAGCACTCAGGAGGCTGAGATGGGAGAATTGCCATGAGTTCAAGGCCAGCTTGAACTACATAGTGAGACCCTGCAGATAGATAGATAGATAGATAGATAGATAGATAGATAGATACATACATACATACATACATACATACATACATACATACATACATGCATGCATGCATACATACATACATAGAATAAATCGTATTGTCACTAAATTGTCTATGGTGCCAATTGCTTTGTTGTAGATAGTCCAGAGGGTGGCAGTGGCCACAGGCCTGGCACGTCCGTGGTAAGTTCTGCATCTATGAGTGTGCTGCACAGCTCATCCCTGCGTGACTATACCCCTGCCAGCCGCTCTGAAAACCAGGACTCCCTTCAGGTAACATTGCTGAGAAGCCCCATTGCCCATGCTTTTGCTCTTTCTTTGTTTAGCATAGTTTCCTATTTTTACTTCTTACTGCTTTTCTTTTTTTTTTTTTTCTTACTGCTTTTCTTTTTCTTCCTTTCACTGTGAAATCTTTATTTCAAAAAAGGAGAAGATTCCCTTTTTTTTTTTTTTTTTTGGTACCGGGGATCAAACTCGGATCCTTGTGCTTACAAGGCAGGCAGCAGAACCACTGAGCTAAATCCCTGGCCCCAAGATTCCTGTATTTTAGGTTTGTCTTAGGTATTTTTCCCCTTCGTATGGGATAGGAGAAATTTATAAGACTTGAATAAATGATTCAATTGTATAACTACAAGTAGTATCTATTTGATAAAGGAAAAGTGGTAAATCAGATTGGGTTAAATTACTTTTCTTTTAGTCACATTCTAAAGTGGTTTTACTTTCTGTTGCCTCAGGCTCTGAGTTCCTTAGATGAAGATGATCCCAATATACTTCTTGCAATACAGTTGTCACTGCAAGAGTCTGGGCTGGCCATTGATGAAGAAACGAGAGACTTCCTCAGTCATGAAGCATCTCTAGGAGCCATAGGCACTTCTTTACCTTCTAGGCTGGACTCTATCCCCAGGAATACTGATAGCCCTCGAGCTGCATTGAGCAGCTCTGAGCTTTTGGAACTTGGTGATAGTCTCATGAGACTAGGAGCAGAAAGTGAGCCATTTTCAACTGACACCTTGAGTTCACATCCTGTCAGTGAGGCAAGAAGTGATTTCTATCCCTCATCCGGTGACCCAGACTCAACCAGCCAGGACCCCAGTATCAATGACAATCTTCTTGGCAATATCATGGCTTGGTTTCATGACATGAACCCTCAGAGCATTGCCTTGATTCCCCCAGCAACTACAGAAATTAGTGTGGATTCTCACATCTCCTGTGTCAAAGATGGCTCAGAAGGGGTAAGAGATGTGGAGCTAGAGCTGCCAGAAGATTCAGTATTTGAAGATGCTGGTGTCAGTGAAAGCAGAGGAGTACAGAAAGAAGAAAATGCTTTAGAAGAAAATATTCTGGCTGGGGAGACATCATTTCAAGTTAGTGACAGTGGTAATGAGGCAGCCAAAGAGAATGGTTCTGATGTTTCAAGTCAAGCACCTGAAACCTCTAGTGACTGGCTTGAACAAGTACATTTAGTGTGAACCGCATACATCTGGCTCCAAGTGCTTTGCAGTTACAGATGGTATGAAAGGTGGAATAAGCTTTATAGAGACTTTGATCCAATTAATTCCAGCTCATAACCACTGATTTTAGAATTGAATACAAAGGAGTTCCCTCATTTTTGGACCTTACAGGGAATTTCTTTTGTATTTAATTGGATAGCTTTTCCTCTGTTTGCTGGCAAAAAGAAGAGCAGGAAAGTACGAGAAACACAAATGGAATAAATAGGTTGTATTCTACATTCTAAGAAAATGCAGCACTCTGTTTATTCTAGAGTTGGCAATATTTAAATTGAACATTTAAATCAAAGGCTTATTCTCTAATCTTTGGGTATCTTTCTGAAAAGAAAAGAAAGGAAGGAAGGAAGAGTTTTCATTCTGGAAGTTTGGACAGATCTACAAACATGTATGTCCTCAGTTGCTTTATGCTCTGCCATAACTTTCCTCCTCCCTTTTTGTCTGAGCAATGTGAATTGAAGTGTCCAGGGCTTCTCTTTAGTGCTGCATCTACCACAGTGTAATTAGTTTTAATTTTCACATGATTAATCAAAGATTTCTTATGTCGATTTACAGTTCAATTGTGCCAAACTCTAACTTGTACGCTGACTAACAAGGCATTTAGGTGTGCAGCGCCCTAGTGTGTTCCAGGGCAGTGTCAGCGTTCTTAGGAGTCAAAGGTGCCACTCGGTAGCAGTGATATTCCAGAATTTAATGGGCTTTTGTTGCCATGGAGACTGCATTTAAATAAATGTAGCCTGTAGCTTAAGTTAACGAAACCTAATGCTGCTGTTAAAAACAGTTTATTTTAATATTAAAATACAGTTGATTAGCAACAGCGGTGCTGTATTTTAAGAGACACTTTATTGGAAGTGCAATCATAGTTCTTTGTTTTCACAATTTTACAGTGCATTCTAATTACTAATGGGTGCAATTACTTTTAATGGTGTTTTATAAAATAGAAAAGTAGAGTTTTCATGAGTTAAAGTAAATCCCACGATTAAAAACTTCAATAAAAACATCCTGCGCAACATGTTACTGTGCCTTTGCCTAACCTAAATGGATAGTTGCCAGTTAATAAGTCAGTAATTCAAATTTCAGTGTCTCTTCTGAAGTAACTATGCTGTGAATTGCAGAGACCTCCATAAAACCACCCATGGCCTTGCCTTTAACAGTAAATATAACAACTAAATGTTCAATCAGTTTGTTTGCCTAAATAGCAAATGCTGACATATGTTTGTTCTCTTGCACAGTGCTCATTTGCTGTGATTACTGTTTAGTCTTGAAAAAGTCAACTTCCTAGTTAGTGTCTTTTTGTGAAGAAAATACTGGTCTTAGCTATAATTAAGATACAGTGGTACAGTGTGTAATTAAAACTAGAGTAAACTGTTGGAATGGTTGTTTACTTACATATTATCACAACTAGCATATCATAAGCAAATTAGATATGCCCAACACTCCATTTAATGTTTTGCCAGATTGTTATCAGAAATCTACAGAAACCAAAATTTCTGTAGTGAGTTTATACAGGCAAGTCCTAGACCAGGTAAAAAGTTATATTAGTATTGATATCCATGTGATTTGTGATTATACTTTTTGATTTTTTTTTTCTGAACCCTGCTTTTGAAATATTCTTGTAACTTGAATTCATGTGGCCAGGACATTAGAGTATTTAATATGCCCCAGGTTGATTCCTCTAAGATAAACAGTGTGGGAATTGCTCCTATGCCATGAGTATTAAAGGCCCACATTAGTTTTCATTTCTCTGATTATCAGATACATTGATATCAATCCCTGTTAAAATTAGTGAGGGAAATATTAACTTTATCTACAGTGTATTACTGTATATTAAACTGAAATAGTCCATTCAAGGATTCTTTTACAAGTTTATTTTGGACTAAAGATATTAACACGGTTAAGTTTTTAGACTGCTGTGTGATTTTCCCAGTAGAAAGACTGCATCACAGTGAGGTGTCTTCCACAGTGAAGTTAAATGAGGAGTGCTCTGTGTGAAGGTAGCATTTGTGGCGGGTTCTGGTTTCCTTACACCTTGTGCAGTTCCCTTTGTTTCTGTGCTGGTCTCTCCTGAGCATGAAAACTGATCATTATCCAGTTTGTATTTCCTTGGTACATATTTTAAAAACAACACAGTCATTGACTTTACAATTCAGTGATAAAGTTTGGCAAAGCCTATTTTGTAAACAAGTTAATTTTATAATGTAAAAAAAAGTTAATCTAACCTTGACTTGTTATTTGCACTTTCATAGTCTATACTTGATACATTCCCACTTTATATATAGTAGGATTCTACAAACGTGTAGATGTTTGGCCAAATGAATGCTGTTAATAATATGTAAAGTTCTTTGATTAAACATTTATTACTTAAACTACTTCCATCTTGTCTCATAGACTTTGTTTTAAGGAAGTCAGGAAGCTAAATTTTCTTCAGATTAAATCCCCTCCGATGTGTTGGAATTAATTTGGTTCTAACAAAATTGATCAGTGCCTAGTATCTTTTATAGTAGCCCTGTTACTCAGCATTTTATACCCTAAAGATAAATCCGGTAATACTGCATGACAGTGTGTTAAAACACTATTTCAGTGCTCATTTTATTTTCATCACTATAGCTATGTTATGATTTTTTTCCCTTGAAATCTCTAATAGAAGCACACAGAAAAATAGAGAACTTTAAGATATGTTTTGTTAAATTGCTTAGGAAAGAAAAATCATGCTATATGAATAAATAACCCTGGTTTCACCATCACTTTGTTGTTCTTTCCCTTATAATTTACCAAAACAACCCTTGGCATCTGGCTTTCAGTGAACATAACAAATTCCAGGCCACCAGCTGGGGTCTGCCATTAACAATCACTTAAAGTCAAGTTTTATTTATGTCTTTCACTTTATGGATCTAAAACTTAACTGCCAGCATCCTAAATACTGTTTACGGAAGCCAGTGATCTCATTTTTATTCTCTTTTTAGTCCTGGATATCTGAACTTAACCTATTTTGAATTACAACATGAGACTTATTAAAGCTTGGTCCTATTTTTAAAACAATGTGTCTCAAAGGAGTAAAATCTTCTAGTCTAAATATTAAATTGTAATACAAATTTTAGAGTTGTTTTAAGGCTGAAATAAATCCATACGAAAAAAGTTGCTGTGTGCTCGGTTCTTAGACTGAGTAGTAGTTTCATCTTAGCACTGTGTCAAAAGTGTGATCACTGGATCTTCCCCATAGAAACACTGTACTGTGTCCTTGTCAGGTCTTGAAACCTCATCAGAATAGTAAATTTCTTTCTAGAAACACTGTATTTTGTGATAGTCCTTATTTTAGGAACTGATAATACTACTAATTCATAAAGAAAAATGGACCAGAAAAAATTTCTGTATCTCTTATTTCCACTTAAAATTGGCAAACAGCTGACAAATTGAGTGGTGGGCAAACTTCTGAAATAATTATTCTTCTTTGGTCTTTGAAACTGGTAATTTGACAGAATTCCTGATAAGGCTGTTGTCTCTTAGCCCCTTGTCCCATCAAGTATTTAAGTCTACCTACTTTGCATGAGGTATGAGTTTATAGACAGGTTAAGAGATAAGCACATGAAAGAGTGAAAACAGTATAGAAAAGGATCATTGTTCTCAGTCTTCATGGGCCTCTTGTGTACCTACTCATTCAGCTGGATGTGCCTCAACCACGTGTCCCTGACAATTTTGTCACAGCCTCTTTTGGAATGTATGTACCTAGTAACCTTGAGGACAAAGGACCAGACATACCTGTTTCCCATATACAGATTCCTTATGCTGACTCTTCCTTGGTACAGTACAAAGCCACTCATGCCGAGTATCCATCCAGGTCTTTGTGTTCCCCTTGTGGAATGTGCTGCCATGTATTCTGCATGCGGTGCCATAATTGATAAAGTCCCTTGCCTCTAATCCAGGAGTCGCATGTCTTTTGTCAGCCTGGATAAGCTTGTGACAGACTTAACTGGTTTGTAAATAGGGTAAAACAGAGTCCAAGAGTTTTGACATCAAAGATGCAATGCTGATATTATCTGGAGGGGGAAAAAAAAATACATGGGCCATGGAAATATAAGGCTCCTGGAAATCTGGTAGTGAAGGGTCTCACACAAGTGATAGGTATGGGATAAGGGCTGGCAGAGATTAAGAGTTCCCACTGTCCTGCCTGCTAGTGAACCCTTGTTCATTCAACCCTTGTTGAGCTAATGTGGAGAGGTTGAGCTAATAATGTAGAGGCTCAGCAACTACAGGTAGGATTGAAACAAACTGTCCAAATGGTGCCTTGATTGTGACTCCGGCAGGTGGGCAGAAGAAGGGATATTGTTAGGACAGCAATTCTTTGGCACTGGCTGTGTGGCTGTTTGGCTGTGTGGCTGTGGCTGCTGAGTCAAGGAATCCCTAAAGGTAAACTAAATGGGTCCAGAATAATAACCTTGAGAGTTTTGGGTGGACTCAAAACATTAGATCTTTTGCTTGAGCTGAAGGCAGTTGCAGCCTTATTCAGATGTAAAAGTGAATGCAAAGCTCTGCCTAAAAGTATTGAGCAGGCAGCAGGCGTGCCCTGACCCCTGCTACAGCTGTCTTGTCCACCAATGAGGACAAGGTGCCAGGTGCCAAGATGCCAAGGTCAGCAGGGATGCATCATCGATCCGGGAAGAAGAAAGCTTTGAAGCCTTGGGTTCTCTCTGGTTGCTGAAAGCTGTCAAGTGTTCAGGCCTTGACCTGGAGCAAGGGCTACAAAAGAAAACAAGCTGAGGAGTTTCTTCCCCACAGCTAACTCTTCTGTCACCCGGGGCACCCCAGCTTCCTCATTGGGGGACATCCCATCTGGCATTTTAACTCCTGCCACATGGAGCTCACACATATTCTCAGCCCCTCAGGGTCTTTCTGTCATGGAAATGGGTTTTGGATATGCTCCCTGGTGGGAAAAGGAAGCTAATGAGGCCTTGTAGGTGTGGTCCTTTGGGCAGGTCCACATAATGTGGCTTCCATATCTGCATATATTACGGAATTGATACGTCATGTACACTTAACCTGTGTCATTATTTTCAGTGGAATTCTCTGTTTCAGGAGAGGTCACATAGAGAAAAGTGATAATGGGCCATGTAAGTTGCTCCTCAACAGGTCTTCTTGTCCTCTCCCTGGCAAAAATAATATAGAATCCCAGGAGAGGAGGAAAGAAAATCACTGCTTATAAAGACTTACTGGCACAGCCAGAGCTCTCAGGCCTTTTCCCAGACAACATCATCACTTCTGCCACAGCCATCAAATACAACCATTTTACAAAAAGGCAGCTATTTACCTACCAAGCTCTTGAAATTGAATGTCTTACCCATGCAAGCCTTGTAATTTGCTGGCCTGACATCTTGACTCTGGGTAGGTCTATTTAAATTAGAGGATTAAATAAGTTGGAAAGAGTCCAACAGGCCTTGCTTGTCAAGTAGAAATGACATAATTGAGAATCCAGGTAGCCTGGCCTTGCCAGTATCTCATTCTTACCTGAAGAATTACACTTGCTCCATTTGGGGATATTTTGTTCCCAACTCCACTGTCTGGAGCACAGCTAGTAGTTTGGTGTGGATCTCAGTTCACAGAATGACTGGGCTGAGTTGAGTTGCTTGGCAGCAATTTCTACCAAATCCCAGTTAGATTTTTTTTTTTTTGTAGCTACAGATGATTCTAAAACTGATATAGGGAAACAAAGAAACAGGAATAGCTAAAACAATTTTGAAAAATAAAACCAAAGTTAGCATAGCAAGATACAAAGCTAACCCTCGAAAATCAGTAGCATTCCTGTACACAAAAAACAAACTCACTGAGAGAGAAATCGGGAACCACACCTTTCACAGTAGCATCAAGAAAAATGAAATACTTAGGAATCAGTCTAACGAAGTGAAAGAACTTTACATTGAAAACTACAGTACTCTGAAAAAGGAGATCAAAGAGTATAATCAGACAATGGAAAAATATCCCCTGTTCTTGGAGAGGCAGAACCAATATAGTGAAAATGGCCATACTTCCAAAATTGTTATACAAATTTAATGTAATCCCAATCAAAATATCAATAGCATATCTCACTGAACCAGAGGAAACAATCTTAAAATTCATACAGAATCAGAAGAGTCCTACAATAGCAAAAGCAATTCTGGACAGCAAAGGCAAGGCAGGGAGCATCACAATTCCTGACTTGAAATTATACTACAAAGCTACAGTGAGAAAAACGGCATGGTACTGGCAAAGAAACAGATCTGAAGATCAATGGAACAAAATAGAAGATGCAAAAACAACTCCAAGCACACTTGGCTACCTTACCTTTGACAATGGGGCCAAACACCTTCACTAGAAGAAAGATAGTCTCTTTAATAAATGATGCTGGAGAAACTGGCTTTCCACTTGCCGAGGACTGAACTTAACCCATATCTCTCACTATGCACTAAAATAAAATTGAAATGGATCAGAGATTTAAGTATAAAATCAAACAATCTGCTGAAAAACACAATAGGTAAAAATCTTAAAGACACAGGTGTAGGCAAAGACTTCCCGATCACACAGGAAATATTACAAAGAATCAACAACAGGGATCATATCAAAAGCCTTTTGCACAGTGAAAGAAACCAACAAGAGAGTAAAGAGACAGCTCACAAAATGAGAAAAAAAATATTTTTTACCAGCTATTCCTTAGACAAAGGACTAGCATCTAGGATATATAAAGAATTTTTTTTTAAATCAGACTCCCCACATTTAAAGACCCAATCCAAATATGGGCACCTGAAATGAATAGACACTTGTCAGATGAATAAGTGCAAACAGCAAGTAAATATATGAAAAAATGTTCAACATTACTGGATATTCAAGAAATGCAAATTAAAACAACACAGATTCTCTTTCCAGAAAGAACAGGTATCATCAAAAAATCAAAAATAACATGCTGGCTAGGCTGTGGGGGAAAAAGAATACTTCTCCATAGTTGGTGGAAGTGTAAATTGGTATGACAACTATGGAAATCAGTGGGGAGATTCCTCAAAAAACTAAAACTAGAGCTTCCATTTGACCCAGCTGTACCCTTTCTAAGTATCTTCCTGAAAGAGTTAAAACATCATACCACAGTGTTAAATACATTTCCTTGTTATAGCAATACAATATCTTTTTTCACTTCCCTAAATTTTTTATCAGGACATATTTTTCATACATATTGATCACATTGTAGGGAATTTGTACCTGTACGTAATATATGTACATAATATTTAAACCTGTACATAATAATTCTTTTTTTCCCATTCCCCTCCCTTTACACCTTCTTGCCCTACATTTACAAAAGCTTTGTTTCCATTTTTTTCCTTCCATTCTCTTATAGCAGCACAATTTATAATAGCTCAATCTTGGAAATAGCACATATACCCATCAACAGATGAATGGATAAAGAAAATGTATTTATATACAATGGAGTACTACACTGCCATAAAGGATAAACGAGTAATTTTTAGATAAATAGATGCACCTCAAGACCATAATGTTAAAGAAATTAAATCAGACACACAAAGTGTAAATATCCCATTGTTTCTCTTGTGTGAAAAACCCAAAGGGAAAATAAGGAGCAAAATGGAGAACAGATACTGGGAGGTAGGAAGAACATCTTCAAATGGGAAGAAGAACAAGAGGAGGAGGGATTTAAAAGAGAATGGAAAAGAAAAAATGGAAACAAAGCTTTTGTAAATGGGGAGGAGAAAAGAAGGGTAGAAGGGAGGGGAGGGGAACGAGAAAAAGAAGACATATTATGTACAAGTACAAATTCCCTATGATGAATGTGATTGTTGTGTGTGGCAAATATGTACTAATAAAAATAAAATTTTAACTGGAGATTTAGCTCAGTGGTTCTGCCGCTTGCCTTGAAAGCTCAAGGGCCCGAGTTCAATCCCCAGTACCAAAAATAAAATTTTAAATAAAATATTAAAAAAAAAAGTAGAAAGAGTCATTCTATCCAATGTCAAGACTATCTGATACTGGTGGGGGTGGGGGTAGACTCATATCAATGGAATGGAATAGAGAACTGAAATAGCCCTACACAAATACTCTTAACTGATTCTGACAGGTACAAAAGGAGAAAATGCTGTTATTTCAACAAATGATGCTGGAACAGACAAAACTACGAACCTCTGCTTAAACCTCATACCTCAAATAAAACAAAATGCATCCTAGACTTAAATTTAAATTGTAAGACTTTTAGAAAAAATAAACCTTAGAATCTAGTGTAGCAAAGAATTTTTAGACTTGATTCCAAGAGCGTAATCCTTAAACGAAAAAATATTAGTAAATTGATCTTCACTAAAATGTAAAACATTTACTCCATGAGAGACCGAATAAAGAAAATGAAACTACACAGCCTGGGAGAAAAATACTTACAAACCACAGATCTAACAACTCACCTAGGATATAAAATGACAAAACAATCCCCTATTTGATGGACAACAGATAGGAAGGGGCATTTCACCACAGAAGGTAAATGAGTAACACATGAAAAGATACACAGCACTATCTGCCTGGGAAATACAAATTTAAAACAGCAAGACACAACATTAACCTGTGAGGATGACACATATTAGTGTCAGCAGCAAGTGCTGGCAAGGACACAGAGAAACCAAGTTTTTCATATACTGCTGATGGGAACATAAAAGGGCACAGCCACCTTGGAAAATAATAGTTTCTTTTTCTATTTTTTTTTAATTACTACATGTTTGCAGATAATGTTTACATTTCTTGTGTGGAGTTGGTGCATGTACATAGCTTAATTCCTTTTTCCATGCCCTTTCTCTTGTTTTCCATCCCCTCACTCCATCTCTTGATGCTCTTCCTATGTGAGAAAGATCTATCTCCCTGCTTCCTGTTATAATTTATTTTGCTCTTTATTTATAATTTGGATTTCTCATATAGGAGAAGCCATGTAATACTTAAGCTTGTGTGTCTGGTTTCTATTTTACTTAACATTATGGTCTCTGGTACATCCATTTTCTTACAAATGACTTAAGTTTATCCTCCTTTATAGCAGAGTAGTACCTTCTGTGTAAATACAGTACCATATTTTCTTTATCCATTCATGTGTTGATGGACATATAGGCTGCTTCCAAGATTTGGCTATTATGAATTGTGCTGATATAAACATGAGTATACCTGTATGACAGTTTCTTTTAAAACTAAGGACATACCACATGAGTCAACACTTCTATTTGCTTTGTGGCCTTTCATCACTGGAAAATGAACTTTTATGTCCACTCAAAACCTGCACACAGGGCTGGGGATTTAGCTCAGTGGTTCTGGCACCTGCCTTGCAAGCGCAAGGTCCCGAGTTCGATCTCCAGTACCAAAAAAAAAACAAAAACCTGCACACAATTGTTCATAGTGCCTTTATTCATAAGACAAAATTGGAATCCACCAAAATATTTTCTAGTAGATGAATGATTAATTTCACTACATCTGTGCAATGGAATAATACTCAGCAAAAAAAGGAAGAAACTAATACAGAAACTTGTATGGATCTCAAAGGCATTATGCTAAGTGAAAAAAAGCCAATCTCAAAAAAAGTCACATTCTTTATTTATATAACATTTTTGATTCATTGCCTTTCTCTAGCAGCTTTGAAGATTTTGACCCTGTGATGGACTTCTGGTACTTTGAGTGTAATGTGGCACAAATAAATTCTCCTTTGGCCATGGTTATTTGGGATTCTATATGTCTCACTTTTCTGTATGTTTATTTCTTTCCTTATATTTGGGAAGTTTTCTGCCATTTCTGTGAACAGGTTTTTATGCTATTTGTGTTATCTTCTGATTTTTCATTTATTTCAATTACTATTTTTTGTATTTATGACAGGTTGTTGCTATGTTCAAGCTGTCCTTTAGCTCACTATGTAGCCTAGCTTGGCCTCAAACGCATGACAGTCCTTCCCCAGCCTCCTGAGTGCTGGGGATTACAGGTGTGTGCTACTGCATCCAACTATTCCAGTTACTCTTAGTCTTTTTATGCGTCATCCATCTAGCAGCTGTTAGATGCATTTTGCATGTTCTCTTGTTGTTTTCATGGTGTCTTTAGTTGTCATCATTGTCTTTTACTTCTGAAATTCTATCCTCACATTGGTCACTTCTGCCTATACTTTCAGTATAATTTTTTAATAGACAATATACCATGTATGGATCCTAATAACAATATAATTTTTAATCTGGATTTCTGATTAAAACCTTTTCATGGACTCTAAATCTTTTTTTTTTTTTTTTGGTACCAGGGATCGAACTTGGGTCTTTGTGCTTGCTCAGCAGGCGGCGAAACCACTGAGCTAAATCCTCGGCCCAATGGACTCTAAATCTTTATTAACTGGTCATTCATGTTTTGTATCATTTTATTTAGTTCATCTAGCTTTTTAATAGTATCTTCTGAAAACTTCTGGGTCATTTTGGTTATTCTGTTACCTGTTTAGCTGTGTAGTCTGTCATCTTGTTGAGTACCACTTTAATCTGTTTTCTAACCTCCACTGTTATCCTGAATTTCAGTAATTTGGGTATGTGGCTTATGCTATTTTCCCCACTTGATGCGCCCCAGATTTGCCTCAGGGGAGTAGGGTGTTTGGGGACTTGTTGCCTTGTCTTCTTGTGCTTCTGTTGTGTTTGTTTGTTTTGTGCTGAGGTTCATGAATGCTTATAGTGTGAAGACTTTGTTGCTAGTATAGAGATTTCTTTAGTTGCTTTTCAGTGATGTACTTTGGGCATGGCTAACTATAGTCCTTTGCCTCAGCCCCAAGATCCAATCACTTTGGTTAATTTAGGAGGGGAGGATGCAATGTAATTAGCCCAGCATCTAGCTCTCTGGGAATGTACTCTTGTACTGTTAATGTCACAAAGTTAATTTGAGTGTTGGCTTACAAAGAATAGCAACAATTATGGTAATATCAAGCAGATGAGCTAGTGGTATCATTCAAGATAGAGTGGGTATTAACATAAGAGCCAATTTAACCCTAGAGAAGAAATCCACAATTATGGTGTAAACATTAAGACGACCCAGGTATTGACTTAATGCTAATATATTCTAAATGTGACAGCTATATCTCCACTAATAGTATAAAAGAATTCAACAGTAATTGTATAGAGTTAACTATCCAAGGACTAATAAAGCTGTATGATTATACTACTAAAGATAAAGGATTTGGGAAGAGGGGAATGCAAGAGTAAAAATTTGAAACCTTAAACTATATGATATGAGGAGAAACACATGGTACAAAGATTCTTATTGGAGAATAGGATATTTATTGAATTAGGTCAAGGTAAGAAAAAAACTGACAAGAAATAGAAGATAAAAGCAAAAGAGGGAGAAAAACATTATGTAGGAAGTAAAAATAAGAGAAAAATGCAGAAAAATTTAAAAGAAAAAGGAAAAAAAAGATAAGACAAAAAATTACCCAAATCCCAATAAAATGGCAAAGAAGAAAGGAGGAAAGAAGAAAAAAGAAAACACACACCCAAAACTAAACACACTCACACACAAAAAAAGAAAGAAACTTCTCTGGTTTTGAATGTGTGGTTTCCTTCCAGTCTCTACAATTCTGGGCCAACCCCAAGTCACACTCGTAGATAAAGAACGCAGGCAGACCCCAGACCTGTGCTTTATGCAGGCTCAGAAGACAGGAGGACTGGGACCTGGGCACCAGGACTGCAACTTTCAAATCCCAGCAATTCTGGCCGGGCCGAGCCAGCCTCTGGCCCTGGGGGCAGGGCCTTTGTCCTTTAGCTCACACCCCTTGGCAGGTCTCTTTCCAGCCCAACCCTGGCCATCTCCTGTGACTGTCTATCACCCAGTCACTGTGAAAACGTGATACTGGGAAGCCTGAAGTGAAGCTGTCCCGTGGGTGCTCTGAGTCCTGGGTTCAAACAATCATCCCTTCCTTGGAATGGCATCTGACCAAGCACACTCTCCAGGGCTTTGCTGGGCTCTTGGACTGGACTCACTCTCCCAGCTGCTGCCCATCAAAGGATTCATGTGGGAGCAGAACCCCACACTGTTCCTGAGGCTCACAGCACCTGGCTGATCCATCCCACCACTGTATTTCTCCCTGCAGCCCTCTGAAGTCCCCAGCTTTCACTGGGTCTCACAGATTCAGTCTCCCTTTCCTGGGAGCCAGGAGCCTGGAGCTGGGAAGAAACTGTAGATTGTTCCTTTCCTTTTCCATGTTGTATTTTGTCTCTTCAATTTCTCTAGGTTTTAATTTTCCTGTCAGATCTTTCCTGTTTCCCAGGGATCTACTTCTTGTTTCCTCCCCCAAGTTATTTTCCAGTGTCTGGATTCCGAATATGAGAGGCTGAGTTGTTGTTACTTTCCACTCGGCCATTTTCCCAGAAGTCACAGATTTCTAATATTGAGAACAAATCAATCTACCCATTTGGTGGACTGGCCCTAATAGGTGTATCTTGCTCAGGGCCTGTACTTAATGCACAAATCAAAAGATTGTCCTAGAAGCATCAAAACTTCTTTTAATCAATTCACTACCCCTGTTTGGTGGCACAATACCCCTGTTTAATCTCCCACAATAGTGTACATCTAAAGAGGAACACTGCAGAGACAGAGGAAATGCCTGCTGCTGTGCTGAGACAGAAAAAGCTCGAGAAAGCGATCAGCCTGTCATGTGCATGAAGGTTTTCTTGAGGCCCAGGAGAATATGCAAAACCTCAAGATTTCCAGTGGCATTTGCTTCCTTGAATGGATTTTCTGTGACATTGATACCAAAGCCTTTGACAGCTACATACACAGTGATGTTGGCTTAGACATTCAGATCTATGAGCTTTGGAGGGCCATCAAAGATTCTTTGCTGAGTAGCTTTAAAGTCATTGCTTCTACTCAACTCATGTTTCGGATTTGGATCCCACATTCCAGGAGTTTTCTGGTAGTAATAAGGGAGTACAAACACAATATGAAACTGCTAAATAGGGTCCCCTTCTGAGAGTTACTATAACCAGAAAACAGTAGTTGGGGTGAATCTGAAATAGCAGGTAATCAAAAACTCAGGTGTCTGGTGCTGTGTGTACCTACATTCAAAGGTCTTACTTGAGATTGGTAAATTCAGTTAAATCTCAGCCTTATTTCCTTTAGCACTCTTGGTAAAGGAGAAAGGCATTATCATACTCCTCTCTGGTTGCCTTTCTTGTACAACCCAGGGAAGCTGGATCAAACCTCTAGTGTCCTCTAAGCCCTAACCCCCCTGGATAAGCTCACAGAACTCCTTCCTCCCTCCTTCCTCTGTTCAATGTCTTCCTGCCCCCCGCCCCCAAAAAAGAGGCTACCACAGGTGACTGTCGGTCATACCCTTCTCATGTCCAACACCATCACCTATCCCTCTTTGCTTTGATTTTTTCCCTATCCTGGAAAAGCAAGATGCAAAGGTAAAGCCTTTATCTGGCCTTCTGCTCCTCTTCTTCCTGCAGGTGAACCTGGCAGATCTCTCTCAGTCTCTGTCTCCTCATTCCGCAGCAACTATGCTTCCCTGAGGTCTGGACTCACTCTTCCCTGCCCCTCAGAGTCAGCCATCTGGTTATTGTCAAGTTCACTGACTTTCTTAGTGATTGTGCCTTGACCTTTTGATAATTTTTTTTAAAACCCTTAGGTATTTTAAAGGACCTTGAATGTCATAACTGTAAATGAACTGTGGCTCCACTGCACAGCACTTTGAAAGCCTTGGCTGGTGTCCATGATTTGATGGTCTCACCAATCTCATATTTTGATGACTGACACCCTTTTTCTTCTTTCCATCTCTCAATTATGGATGTTTGCAGAGTTCATTCTTTGGGATCTCCTTCCTTCTCCCTTATTCCTAGCAAATGAGTCTGTTCTCACAGCCTCAGTTCCCTACAAACTGTGATGGTCCCCAATTCCGTATCTCTAGCCCTGAACTTCAGCTGCAAAATCTCAGCATATTTAACATTTCCTGTGTTTTTACATATTGAAAAAACTGGAACCTACATTTATCACGTTGCCTCACAACTCTCCATACCATTTCCCCCTTTCTTAAGATTGCCTTATTTTAGGAACAGTTGCCCATAGTAAAACCTGGGGCATCCCTAATTTCTCCAGCTCTAGAAATCCTCCAATTAGACATCAATGTTTTTGTCCATTATCTTGATCATGTATGATTAGCTCATTCTACCCCATTTAGCACCTAGTCCTTTAGGGTCTTAAGCCTATATGTTAGCTCATACACTACCTTCCTCTCCCCAATATCTCCTCTATCCTAACCCACCCACTATGGCCAGAAAACTCTCCTAAAGCCTGCCTTCACCATAATTCAGCAATCAAAACCTTATGCCAATGGAAACAAACCTTTTGTAAATAAGGAGGGGTGGAGGGTATAAAGGAAGGAAGAGGGATGGGAAAAAATAAGAACCAAGATATATAATGTACAAGTACAAATTCCCTATGATGAATGTGATCACTATGTATGCCTAAAATGTACCAATAAACGTAATTAAATTTTTAAAAACCTTATACCTACAAGATAAAGTCTGAAGTCCCGAGCCTTTCAGGATTATTTAAGTCCTTCATCTGGTGCAACCATCCCTCTACATAAACTTTTCTCTCTAATTCCTTCCCCAGACCACCTGAAGCCCATCATGAGTGGACCTGTTTGGTGCCTTTGTTTATACTACTGCCATTACATACTTTTCCTGCTGGGGAAAGCACCAAAGACTGGCTGGCCCAGAACTTGAAATTAGAAATACGTGAAGCAGGGAGGCAGACATGGGTTCATTTGGATAGATTTGAACATGTGAGCTTTTACATCTGAGTAAAATTTTTTTTGTATCAACTATCATCCCAAGAAGCTGTGAAACTCTAGGAAAGTTATATAGATCTGTACAACCTACGATTTTCAAGGGAATCATCAAATTGGTGGTATAAGATTTTATAAGTATATAATTCAATCAAAATGTTATGGGACTTCTTGTTTAATGGATATAGAACATGAGTTTTGCAAGATGAAAGTTCTAGAGATAGGTTGCACAATAATATACATATATTAAACATTAAGGAACTGAACACTTAAAATTGTTATGACGATATATTTTATGCACATTTTACAATAATTAAATTTAAATTTAAAATATAGGACTTCAGTTGTCCCAGACAATCAGAAGAGGTGGTCTCTGAGTCAAGCACACCAATACAATTATGATGGGACAAGAGCAGTTAATTCTGTCCTAAGCCTTTCATGTAGATTAACTTGGTTAATCCTCCCTCAGTCCTATCTGGGAGTAGTAGTATTCTCTCTAGTCTGACTCTGCAATACAAGAGAAAGGAAGAATCTATTGCTTCGTGTTATTCTTAAAAATCAGATCCCAGGGCTGGGGATTTGGCTCAGTGGTGCCACACCTGCCTTGCAAACACAAGGTCCTGAGTTTGATCCCCGGTACAAGGAAAAAAAAAATCAGATGCTAGAATATTCCCACAGAATATCCAAACTAAGAGAGAAAAAAAGAAGTAAATTTAAATTTCTGTAATCAGTTTTATTCATGTAGAGAGATGTTTACAGGTTTTTATAGTACCTGGAAAACTTCAATGAAGCAATAGGTATCTTACAAATATTTGTAAATGTGTAATTATGATAGTCATCTTTTAAATTTATAAAAATTAGAAATATTCCCAGCAAGTTTTGCTATGTGACAATGGAATTAAAAGGATTACAACAACAGCTATCATCTACTGAATGCATAGTTTCTTTTGTAAAGAAAGAAAAAAGTGTTCTTAATATTTTTTTAAATAAAAGGGATTATGAAGTTCATGTCTGAGCCACATATCAATTCATAAGTGCTCCTTCCTCTGTTCTCATCCGAAGCTGACACTGGCCATATAACTACCGTGCTTGTCCAATCAGTTGCAGAATGAAAAGGAAAAGGTTGATGATGTCCAAGTAAATCCCCAGGGCAGCAAAAACTTACTCTTCAGGGTCCATGTCATACTGGTACCCTCCTACCATGAGCTGCACATCCATCACCAGGTAGTTGAAGAAAAACAAGAATTATCAAGTAAGTATCTAAATGATCTGGAAATTTTGTTTTTGCATTAAGAAAAATGTAGAAAATAGTTTTTGGCTGAATGTGTTACTCTTACAGCCTCAATTTCATGAAGTCCTCAAGTTTGTACTCTTTAAAAGGAAGTTCCTCATCCTCCTAAAATCTGTGGGACCAAATCTGAGCTTCCCTTTCCTTTCCAAATTCAAAACACCTTTGTATCTTTAGTCAATGATATGGACCAGATGGACAAACTATAAAATGCCTATGTTTGTAATTTTTGTCCATGTTCTTGTTAAATAAAGGATCAAAATAAATATGGTTCTGGCCACTTAGATTCACATAGATTAATAATTCTGAATTGATAGCAAATCTTGCCATTTGGGATAGCTTTGTCATGATTTCTGTATATCCAAAATAGAATGAGAAGGGCCTCCTATGTGGTTGAATAATCCCCCAAAGAAACACTTTAACTCTGCTGAAGTAGGTAAAACTGTGCAGCCCTAAAATATCAAGATTAAAACAGAGGTGCCTAGGGCTGGGGATTTAGCTCAGTGGTTTCGCCACCTGCTGCACAAGCGCAAAGACCCGAGTTCGATCTCCGGTACCAAAATAAAAAACAAAAAAAAAACAAAATAGAGGGGCCTCTCTCATCCTTGCATTCATTGCAAAACCAGCAGACCTGGGCAGCTTGAGTACACCAGAGAGAGAGAGAAACAATCCGGCGTGGTCACCTGTATCCAGAAGCTAGACTAAGACTCCAGTGCTGTGAGGCAGAATCCCTCAGACAAAGCAACAGTGGCATTGCAGAGTACTCTTGGGGTTGGAGAGATTTTTCTGAAATCCACTTTAGACTATTAACTACTTCAGTGAAACTTATCTCCAGGGACTCACGTATTTGCTCTCTCTGACTCCTCATTCCCATGTGGTCTTATAAGAATGAGGATGATGGGAGGGAAGGAACAGGATGAAAGTTATGGAACACATCCTGGGCAGTCTCATCTCGGGGGCTCTCATGTATTGTGGGAATAACCCAGTTGGGACGGGCTAGATTAAAATGAACCTCGGAGAAGGAAGGACAGCAGTAGCAACGGGGAAGGACATCAAACATGAGTCTGGAGTCTGCTAAAGCAGGGGCCTCGTCTGAGTTCCTAAGTTCCTTCCCCACTTTTCTCCCTAGGTCTCACCCTAGCACCTTTGGAAGGATCAACAGCTAGGGTGAGCAACCATTCTGATTTCTGGGACCTCAAAAACCCTTTGGTTGGGGAATTTGTCACCCAAAATGTCCCTGGGGGGCGGAGCATTCCACTTTGTTCCGTCCATCACCCTTACGTCCTGACTTCTGTGAAGAAGAGCTTTTCTCTCTTCTTAATCATTTCCTAAACGTGGCCTGGGTGGTTAAGAATGTGGCTTATCAGGAGAGGTTAGCATGTTTGAGAGCAGACAGACAGTAGGAGAGAAGGATGAGCATCATCCAAGACTGCCCACCCACAGGGAAGCACTGCTGCCAGGAGCCTTTGGAAGTGTAGTACGCTCTGCCTTGCCCCCTTCACAACTCTGGTAGTTAAAATGCACCCATCCATTCACTTTCCTCTGCCTGTTACTCGATGTTGAGTGATCTGCCTGAGTCTATAATAGAGTTTTATCTGGGCCAGGGATTTAGCTCAGTGGTTCCACCACCTGCCTCTAAAGCACAAGGTCCTGAGTTTGATCCCCGGTACCAAAAAAGAGAGTTTTTTTCTCTGCCTGCATACGGAACAGAACATTAACATACAGCATAGAAATAGACTGTGCCTGAAACAGGCCACAAGGGATGCAGCAGCAACACACAAAGGCTCCACAGCAGTAAAGCAAGAAGAAAACAAATCAGGCCCTTTTAAAATGCTTGAAACGAGAAAAGCAAAATGTTAACCTTAATCTCTTGGTATAAATTTTTCCAGCATCTAAAAGACACAACACAATTCCAAAAACACCACAAAGGAATACAGTATAGCAAAACATAGATGGTTTTAATGCTTGATGGTAATATCTGGGGCTTTTTATACCATTCTCTCTATTTCTGGGTGTATGTTTGAAAATCTTCAAATTAATTTTTTTCTTTAAAAACCACAGGGGATAGGAGTGTAGGTGAGTGCTTGGCATGCTCAAGGCCCTGGGTTCAATCCCAAACACTGACAAATAAGTAAATAAATACACAACAAAAACTCTAAAAGAGCCTGATGAATGTGCAAAATGGGATACCATAGCCCTTAAACAGAGTGAGTTAGACCCAGGTCTGCTAATATATGATGACTATAACTTCTTAAGAGTAAAGGCCAAGACAGAATATTACATATAGTAGGAATACCTTAGTGCCAGAGCAACAGGTGCATATGTGTAAAGAAATCCTGGAAGGATTCCTAACACTGCTAACAGTGGTTTCTTCCGAGGAAGGTCAATAAGAGGGAGATTTTTATGTTCATTTTACAATCTTCTATGTCATCTGAATTTTAAGATGTGCATTATTACTTCTTAAACAAAATATTCTTTAAAATAACTGTAAAGATATGACAGCAAGATATGAGACTAAAAAGAAGGAAAGTGGTTCCTAGATGCATCAGTAGTGCTATTTCCCTAGAAGGTCCTATTGAGACACTAGTCTGCATAGGACATATGAAACTGCAGCCTGCTGTAGTAAGCTTTCTGGTTTATGAATAATCTTCTATTCTCTTAAATATTGACTCTTTCAAGAAAAGCAGTGTTCCATGGGCTGGGAAGATCATTCAGCTTTCTTGGGGGTGATGGTCTTAAGAGGCAGCACATTGCCGGAGGGTTTCTAGTGAATTACTGACTGCAGGTTGCTAGCCCACCTTCCTTATCAGGGAGGGAGAAATGGACTTACCAAGGAGAACACTAGGGCTCCGATTCCAGCATACAATAGGTTCAGCCACTGCAGAAAGAAAACAGTTGTAGCTTAAGAAGGAGATCTAGAGTAACAAAAAGGCTTATGTAGGTCACTGGGGACAAATAAGGACCCAATATTAAGAAAGTCAAACCTGTGGGGAAATTAACCTTTTCTTGAACACTCAATTCCAGTAAATGACCAAAGGAAAGCTAACATTATGCTCACCAAAAACTATTCATGAAGTGGAAGTGCTTCACGTCTGGTGTGATTGAGCAAGAATCTATTAGACACTCTGGACTTTTTGCCCCATCTAGATAGCCTTTCTGAAGAATGTGCCCTCCCTTAGGTCAAGGAACAGGCATCCTTGGAAGTACAGTGACCTCACGCGCCCTAGCTGGAGGATGTGATGAGAGGTAGAAAATAGCGGAATCTGACTGATCAGAAATTGAGCTCTGTGACGGTTTCAACAAATGTGCCAGGCAGTCGGAAATCAATTTTCAGGATCAAGGGAGCCAAGTAGAAGAAGTTATTGTCATTGGCCAGTGCCAGAGCTCTTACTGCACAAGTAGAGCTAGCCAGTAAACCCTGGAGGAGCCCAGTTCTTCCCACCATAGAGAGGTTCTGGGCCTTTACCTCCCCTGTCAGAGTGTGATCTGTTCCTGGAAACCAAAACATCCCTGAGCAGAATACAGGACTAATCTAAATGCCCAAGGGTTTGACTCACATGGAAAGAGGATAGGGAAGAGTATACAACATCTGAGAAAAATATGGCACGAATTCTTCAGGGGGAGAAAGCTGCTCCTGAGAGGTTCGGACAGAGCATTCTGCTAGCCAGGAAAGTTTCTTGGTAAATAAGATTAGGAATCAGTAACTAGGGGATGGGCTATGGGGTGGGCAGTAGTTCCAGAATAAGCTCAGTCAGGAAACACCTGGCACCTGAAGTCAAGAGGATTCAGAATTGTCCAAGGCAACCATGACATAACTTAGGACAAGACTCCACCACAGTCTTCTCCCACTTAAACATGTGTGTAATATTATAGGTTGTAGATATTTGTAAAAGGAAATTTAGATTGGGAATCAAGTCAGTCTATAGTAAGAGATACAGTCTCTTAACCATATAATTGATACTATAAACACCTATAGAATCCACCTAGTAAATGTTTCTAGTATTATTACCATTATCTCTGCTACTACCAGTAATAATAGAGAGATGTGGCCTTTTAAGTCACATATTTGTGATGCTTTTGCACTTGTCCCCAAAATATAGAGGCCACCTTCCTCCCTATGAGATATGTGGTCATCATAAAGTTAAGTCAACCTAGACGGGTTGACTTTTGGTTATACGTTGGAAGATAGTGTAACAAGCCCATTTGTTGTCAAAGAAATTCTTTAGTTTAGCATTTGGACCCAATTGATCTTGGGTCTCAGGCCCCAGGTCAGCTGACCTTCCTTCAACAAGGTCTCCACAAAGGCGGCACTCAGAGACAGGAACCACAGGGGTAGGCCAAAAGCCCTGTCCCCACACCTGCTCCAGAGTCAGCACACGGACAGTGCGATGACAGCAAAGATCTTGGGTGCTAGTGTCTCTGGGCCATCTCTGCCCCTTATCTTGGGGGAAATCTAAATTATTTAATTTCTCTGAGGCCCTTTTGTTACCCATAAATAGAGGAGATATGTACTTTTCAGGAATGTTGTGAGAGTTCCATGTAATGCCTATGTGAAAACACATAGGTCCCTGCCCGATATCAAGTAAGAACTCAATGAATATATTCAATAATTTTTTTAAAAAACCAAAATTGGTGACACATGCCCATAATCACATCACTCAGGAAATTGAGGCAAAAGGATCACCACAAGTTCAAGGCCAGCTTGGGTTACATAGTGAGTTCAAGGCTGGCCTAAACTACCTAGCAAGACCCTGTCTCAAAAAAAAACCCCAAAAACACCTGGGATTGGACAAGGAACCTTTAGGCTGCTATTGGAAAATGTCTATTTCTTCAAACAAGTAGCACTCACATACAGGAGGAACCAGGCCCATCCCTGCAAGTAGGTCCCCCCAAGGACCCATTGGGGAAGGACAGTGTAGTCTATATTTGGAGCTCAATATTCATCCCCTGGATCCCCCTGTGGATGGCATGTTCCGATGACACCTGTGTCCCTAGGATGGATTTCACAGGCCTTCAGCTACGAGGAGGGGAGTTAATGACCAAGAATCCCAGCTGCTGGGCTGTGGAACTCATAGCAGCTGGCCTTAGGCACTTGCCCATCATTGGCCAGAAGCAGCAGGGCCCTTCCTGGGAGGCAGGGGACCTCACTGAGGCCACATCATGTCCTGAATACTCCCTGGTCTAACCTTCCTTCAGTTGGGGTCAGGTAAGCTGTCCTGGTCTGAGAGCTCTCCCAAGCCTGCACCAGCTCGCTCCCCCTTTCCTCTCATGGCCATGTGTCTTAGTTACTTTACTCTCGTTGCTGAGACAAAATACCCAACATGCAAAGTTAAAAGGGGGAAAGGTTTATTTAGCTCACAGTTTGTAGAGGTTTCAGTCCATAATTGGCTGGTTCCAAGGCAGGGTGGTTTGGCAGAGGGGATCATGGCAGGCAGAAGACAGCAAAAACAAGCAAGGGAACAAGGGACCTGACAAGCCTGTTTCCCTTATATTGCATTCAGGCTATTGGGATTACAGCAGTGCCAAACCAACCAGTGGACTGATTTAGTAATCACTCACCCTTAATCCTAGCACTGCACCATGAGTCAATCACCCACTCTAGATTCAGCCACCTCTGAAAAAGCCCCACCTATGACTGCATGAGGCTTTGGAGGGACATCTAGACACAAGCCATAACAACATGTCTCCTTTTAAAATCCTTCCATGCTAAAAAAAAAAAAAAAAAAAAAAATCCTTCCATGCTTAGTCCCAATTCCATGTCTGCTTCTCAGAGGACCTAGACTAACACAGCCATCACTTTACTTATACTTTTAGCAGTTCTCTGAGGGTTCGACATGAAAATCCACTTACATGTGATCATACGAAGAGCATCAAATTTCCATAGATGAAAAGTACGCAGAGGAAAACAAACAGCATTGCATTTAGCCAGGTAAAATCCCACTGAGGAAACATAAGCAGTACACAGCAAATCAGTCAACACCTAGAAGGAACTTCAGGATGTCTAGAAATGAGTTTTATTCCCCAGAGACTGGACCACTGCTAGCAATTTCCCCCCACCGATTCAGAGAACCACAGATATTCAGTAGCCCCAACCACTGAAAAGTGCTACATAAAAAGTGCTATACTGACAGAAATTTGCTTCAGGAGGAGGAAAAAAGTAGGAGCCACAAGTTGATAATTTTTGAAACTGGGTAATGAGTGTATGAAGATTTATTATGCTATTCTATTTTTGTATTTATACAAAGTATCCTCTAAAAAAAAGTACATTAAGATGTAAATTTGTATGATCATAATGACTCATAATTTTAAGAACATATACATAGAAAACATTACTGAGGGCCAGGGATTTAGCTCAGTGGTTCTACTGCTCAAGGACCAGAGTTCAATCCTCGGTACTAAAAAAAAAAAAGAAAGAAAAGATTACTGAAACATACCAAGATGTTAAATGGGTATCTTTACATACATAAATATGTATATATTTAATAAAATATATATATATATATATTAAGCTTTCAAAAATACTGTTAATTATTCTCTTGCAATTTCAAAATTTATTCATGTGATGTTTGGTTTTGCTTACATAAATGTGTGACCTAAATCATCTTGGAAGATTAGGGGCTTTTTTTAAGAAAAGGGATATTTATCTTCTGGGCCAACAAACATTGTATTATGCAGCAAAATAGGGGCCATGATATCCAAGATACCCAAGATATTTTCTTGTATTTCCCCTGTTGCCTCCCCTTAACACACAGGGAGAGTCATCCAGGCACCAGATCTCAGACCTGCAGCATCTGTCAGCACCCCTGGGAAAGGCAGTCTGCAGGCCCCATCCTGGACCTGATGTTTCACAACTCCAGGTTGGGGCCCAGGCCCTCCAGGGATTCTGATGCACCAGACTGTCTAGAGCTACGTTTTCAGCACAGTGGCTGCCAGCTACAGGTAGCTACTATACAGCACTTGAAATGTGGCTAGTCCTGACTGAGATGTGTTTTAAGTATAAAATACACACTAATTCTGAATTTTGGATAAAAAGTAGAATGTAAAATATTTGTATCTTTGTTACATGTTGAAATAATAACATTAAATATGTATGGGGTTAAAGTATGCTATTAAACTTAATATCATCTTTTTATTTTTAGAATTATTATCTAATTTATCTTATTGTATTTTTGAGCCAAGGTCTCACTCTGTAGTGAGTGAGCAAGCTGGCCTCAAGCCGGCCTTAAACTCACTACATAGCCCAAGTTGCCCTCAAACTTACAGTGATCCTCCTGACTCAGCCTCCTGCATGCTGGGATTACAGGCATGTGCCACCATGCCTGGCTTAGCACATTTAAAATTAAGTGTATGACTTTGATGTATGGCTCACATTATGCTAGTCTTGGACAGCCCAGGTCTAGAGAGCAGTAAATTTGGCTATGACAGTGAAACCTAAGGCTTGCTCCATGTTGGCAGAAAGAAGGGGTGAGGTTAGTTCAGGTGCAGAGCTCTGAAAGGCTGGACTGGACCCAACGTCATCAGGTTCTGAGTCACACCAGTGGCTGCTCTCAGCCTCAGAGATTCACAGAGCACGCAGTGACTCCAGGGTCCCAGGGAACTCATTCAGGATCTGTGGCTCACAGCATAGCCTCCTGGCTGTCCTGTGAACCAGTGCCAAAAGCTCACACATGCTCACCCCATGTTTATGAAAAAAGCAGGCACATCAGGAGGCTGAGCATTGTGTATCCATGTGATCCTATTACCCAGCCCAAAGGAGCTGTTTCAAGGATGGGATTAGATTAAATTTAAGCCAAACGCACATTTTATTTCTCCCCTGCCAAGTGGGCAGGTGGGGGTCATGAGAAAATTCAGACACATTTTTTGGCTTCATTTTCTCTGCAGCCTGTGTACTGTGATGAGTGAATGTTGCAAACCCTCCATCACACAACTTAATCAGAAAAAATGCTTAGCTGAATAGTTCTGCACCTTTTAAAGTCATCCATGCAAATAAGCTTTTTAAAAGATACTCTGGCATTTCAGAGAATTTTAAATGGTGAAATGAATTTCTGCATTCAGCTGTGGCCTTCCCCACTCACTGCAGAGAGGCAAATCTCTACAAATAGGTGGGTTTTACAAATGACCAGCTTTGAGGCAGAAATGATTATCTGGTGATGAATTAAAGTTGAATCCCTAAATTTTGATAAAATTGGTAACATTTAACCATCTAGCAGACCCTTCTGCTTCTCTGTCCCTTCTTCCTTTTTCCACCAGGAAATGATAAAACTCTGCACAAGTGTAAGACCTTCCCTGAGACATGTACCAAAACATTTGGAAACTTCACTCTCTTCTGCTGATGAGTCCATCAGTTACCAAAAAAAAAGTGGTTAGAACAAAAAGAAAGGACTGCTGAGAGTACCTCACCAAATATCAGGGAGCACATGGGCAGGAGATTCTGATGTCACAGTTAAACAGGAACAGCCCCGAGCTCTGAGGTACTCTCTGGGCAATCTTGGCATCTTTCAGCTGGGTGAACTGTACAGCTTTCTGATATTTAAACTCCCTGTCAAGCAGGGTCCCAGCAAGGAACAGATGGCACACTCAAATAGTGTGGCTGGGGGAGTACATGTTTGTATGAGAACCATGTACAAGTGTCTCCAGGGGAAGCGCATGAATGAGTCTACACTGGCAAAATGGAAGAGGACAGGGAGCCCAGAAGGCTGAGTCAGGTTGGGCACACTGAGACAGGCAGTGAATTTTTCTAAGGACCATAGCTAGCCGAAGAGGAATCTGTGGTGGAGGAAGCCATGGGAGCAAGACTCTCTCTTTCTCCTCCCTCCCTTTCTCATCTCCAACTGGGGCTTGCACTGACTCAAGGCCACAAAAAGCCAAATGCAAAGGGGTGGTCCAGAGCCCTGCAGGACAGCAGAGCACAGCCAGGGTGTGCACATGGGTCAGAAGGGACAGAGGGACATATGCACACACCCTTAAGACAAAAATCTGCCTCAATAATACATACTTTTGTTTGTAGAGCAAATATAGTGAGCGCTAATGTCACCAGAGTGGTTGCTGCTGTTGCCCACAACACTTCCTCGGCACTGTTGAAACTAAAATCAGAGAGTGCAGTTATTGTTCATACACATTCAAGAAAAGCACACACAATAAAAAATAAATGTGTATCAGACTTACACCGATATAGTTCCTAGCAGCAGACCTTCAAGAACCGTCTAAAAACAAAATTTACAATAAATCAGAAGCTTGCTTTTCGAGGAATGAAGCTGAGACCCAGCATCCAAAAGAGGTGGTGTAAGGTGTGTGCCTTCGGGACAGGTCTAGGGACCAAGTGGGAATGTGTCCAACCCCAGTACACACAGCCATGGCGGGTATGGAAATGAGTCATGTCCATAACATTCTTCCTAGGACTGACAAAATTATTTTATTAGGAAAACCTTATTAGAACACAACAGGAACTTTGACATCTTCAGGGAATTAAATGTGAAAGTAGAAAAGGTTCATTTGTGGACTACGTCATCCTTGATCAAATGAGGCCACTCACACAGTGTCCTAACATTTTATCAGGACAGGATACATTGTGTCTATGAACGCTTCACCCTGGTTTGGGTACTGCCACGTTCCATAGTACCTGATGAGCATAAAATATTTCCTCAAACCCCCGGCCTGAGTGAGAATGGGACATCTTCAGTGCCAGGAGATGGGGCTGAAGGGCAGTTGCCACCAGGGAATGGAGCTGCACCTGTAGGTGCCGACGAGGGGGAAAAGGCTGCAGGAGGACTTCATTGCAGGACACCTGCCACCCAGATGGAGCCCGCATGGCTTGGGGGGACAGCATGGGAGAAAAGCAGGGGCTGAAAGCTGGTGTGCAGTCAGGGCAGACGTGAGACAAAGAAGAGCTGTCCAGCCCGTGGTCAGGCTCAGGACCTTGAAACTGTCGTGTAAGGACACCAGCAGAGGCTACGGGGCGGGGATGTTCCTTAGCTCACAGAGAGCTGTGCTGGAGGAAATCCAAGGACTCAGAGGACTCAAGGACTCAAGTACTCAGGATTGCCTGTCCATGAAAAGACCCAAGAAAGAATCCTCCAGTCTCAGAGAATAGAAAGGAAGGCACATCCTTACCAAAGCGCTGGAACTAGAGGTTGGCTTTGAACTTCTCCAGCCAGCTGCACTGAAGCAGGATCAGAGGTGAGAAAAGAGCTGGAACTAGAAAGTTCTGGATTTTCCAGACCCAGTGGGTGACCTGAGTCTCTGCTTTGTTAGACTTACCAAAACAGGCTGTCTTTCTCTCCCTTATGGAAACAAAGGGTGCATCTATTTCAAGTGCCCATGACATTCTAACAATATGCTCACTTCCAACCTTCCTCATGAGGTATTTTTTTTCCTGTTCTCCTACTTCATTTGCTTCAGCACATCACAAGGGTGTGTGTGTGTGTGTGTGTGTGTGTGTGTGTGTGTAGTTAGGAGAAACAGGAGAACAGGGAACAGGAAGAAAGCTGGAATGGTTCCTGGCTGGAAGATTCTGTCTAAGTCAAACTTACCAGGTGCTCTTTCCTGCCTGGTCAACACAGGTTCCAAGAGTCACAACTCCAAGGGACAAAAGCTGTCTGCAATGAGTGTGTTCTTGTGCTTTCCCTCAACTCCTCTTCTAAAATGGTTTTTCCCATATATTTTCTAACACATGGGTGAGACACTGAGTCTAGAAAATACAATTAATTAATTCTTCAATATATCATTTCTTAAGCTGTCATTTGCCTTGAGATAAAGGAGCAAAACCTCAGTTGATAAAAGCTTCTTTGGACAGCAATAACTTACATCTCTTTTTATAGTAAACCTTAAGATCATTTCAAATTTTAAAATGAAGAATTCAAACATTTCTTTTTTTGTTGTTTGTTTTTTTATTTTTGGTACCGGGGATCAAACTCGGGTCCTTGTGCTTGCGCAGCAGGCAGCGAAACCACTGAGCTAAATCCCCGCCCTTCAAACATTTCTAAGAAAACAGACCTGCCCCACTGACTCTGGCTCAGGGTTCCTCAGTACCTTCCTATATCTGGCTGTGGCCCCATTCCCTCCTGAGTGTACTCTGTGTTGTCAGGGAAGTAACTGGGAACCCCCCCGCACTTGCTGGTCTGGGCAAGAAGGAGGGGATCCATGTCAGCTAAGAAAGGCTCCCCAGCTCTCTGACAACCAAGGAAGTACCCAGCTCTGGACAGCAGACAGGCAGCCTTCTCCAGCCTTGGGGGAAGCTATTCCCCATAACATTTAATAAATCACAGTAGACACTGCTGGTAGGGATGCTCAGACTCATACCACTGGTCCTGTGTTCTTGCTTGCTTCAACACCAGGGGGTAGGAGCAAAATCTAGGATCACGGCACTCAAGCACAAAGGCCTTAATATGTTTTGATACTAATCTACTTACTATGTTTGTTTTCCTACCCTATTTTTCTTTCTTTCGGATTTCTCTATCAGTTTATCTTCTTATATTACAGATGTTTCCATAAGTGACCTCAAATCTGATTTGGAATAAATCAACTGGTAAATAAACCTTCAAATAAAAGAGCGCTCTACTGCATGGAAAGAGATGCAAACCCCACCCCCATCATTTGCTGGCACTATCTTGAATCCCACTGGGATGACTGGGATGGGTATAGATTTTCCCAAGAGGAGCAAAACACCCTAGCAACTGCTATCAGTAGCTTCTGAGAGGCCAAGGCCTCCAGGCATTGAGAAGTTTGGTCTGACTGTGAAGTGGAAGACAGGGCTGGAGGAATGACTAGTAGCTGATGCTGAGTCCCTGAGGATGACCCTGGGACCTTCGGGTGAGCTGAAACTTGGGTTGGTAATTTCAGATTCTGTTCAGATTTAGCTCAGGTACCTGATGAGAGCTGCCAAGACCCCAAGGTCCCCATGGGCAGGACAAAAAGAAATTGGCACTGAATGATAGAAAAGGGCAGGCATGATGATGTGGTGTGCAGGAAATACACCCTTGAAATGAGGCCCTGGGGACCCAGGAACCAGATTGGATCAGTGACAAAAGCCAAGGACCCTCTCAGAAACTAGAAAAGCCCTCTAGAACTGAGAAGAAAGTTGTGGAACTAGGGAAGAACCTGAGCCCAGAGACGCCTTTTGTTCCCAACGGGCAGGAAATAGGAATAAAATATACTTTACAAAAATAAAATTACATTTCTTGTTCCTAAGTTTGTAGAACAGATGTGGAATCCATGCTCCCTATCAAAATGTGTGTGTCATGCCTGACAGAAGCCCAGTGGCAGTTAGATTAAATGCTCTTGAAACAGCCCTGACTTGGGGGTGGGTTTCCTGTGTGGCCTCGTCAGAGGCGAATTTACCAGCGTGAAGTAGGCTGGGATCCCCAATTCTCAAACTTAGTAAAAGGGCATGGATATTATCTCATGGGTCAGTTTACTATTTCCTCACAACCGGAATTCCCTCAAGAGAGTGTTTCACAAATAATTCCTATCTGCATTACTCCATGGGAAGAGTTTCCACCACAAAAGGAATGACTTTAATAAGGTGACAGCCACATATTTCGAGGTAAGTTAAAACAGGGGCTGACAAGGTTTACTTACAAACAATCCCAGGAGAATGTAATTTGCAGGCACCTCCCGGTGGATAGTCCCACAGCAAGCAAGTACAATAAATATCACAAAAAATGCTGGACTGCAGGATATATAAAAGTATCTGTTATTTGCTTCCAGTGGTTATATCATATGATGTATATAGATACAGATATTTATCATTATAGGATATCTGATAACTTTTTTCATTGCTATCCACATTGCTAACATCCACTGATTACAATTTTTATATATTATATCATCAAACCCAGTAATTTGATATTGGTTTAACACATATAGATAGTTCTTAAAACTATAATATGAATCCACATGTAGATACATACAACCACCACCACAATTTGAATTTAAAACTATGCCATCGGCCACACATCAGTGAAGACCTCTCTGGTGCTACCCCTTTATGGTAACACACCCTCACACATATTCAACCCTAACTCCAAGCAACCATTAATTTCTTCTCCATAATTTTGTTATTTTAAAAATATCATACTTTTGGGCAGGGGATTTAGCTCAGTAGTTCCACTACCTGCCTCGCAAGCGCAAGGACCCAAGTTTGATCCCCGGTACCAAAAAAAAAAAAAAGAATATTATACTTTTACCTTTTACCTTTACCTATTTAATAATAATAAAATCTCAGTGACTAGCTAGTAGAAAAACCATGTTTTATTAAAGTCAATGATACTTACAAGAGTGCACATATGAACAAGGGGTGTGTAACTACCCACACTCCTAAAGCATTCCTGTTTGAAAAAAAAAATTAAATGTAGTTTTATACAATAAGATAGCATATTTTGTTAACTAATTTAATAGTTAAGTAGAAGTAAAAAAATATCATGAGGAGAATGGAGAAAACTAAATGATTAGTAATGACAAATGGAGATGAAACAATAAAACATTCTTCCGCTTCAAAGATAAATAGGTCAGGCTGGGGATGTAGCTTAGTGGTAGAGAGTACCTGCCTAGCCTCCATGAGGCCCCGGGTTCAAATTCCCAGCACCAAGAACAAAAAGATCTACACAAGAAGATATTTTCATAAGTTGTAAATCAAATGTAAATAAATGCAAACACCTAGTGAAGTTCTTCATTTTAAAAAATACCAAGATTGATATGTGTACAAAGGAAAAAGAAATCAACTAAAAAAAAAAGAAAAGAAAAAGAAATCAACTCATATATTTGTTTCATAAATACAGATTTTGCATGGGATACACTTAATCAGTGAAGGATCAGTCCCTTGAATAATTTCTGAATTAGACAGTTTCAGCCTCTAATGTCTCCATAATCTTGCTTTATCCTTTTATCCAGTTTAACTCCAAAAAGAGCTCAGAAAAAATAAAAAAGAATATAGTCCCCAAAATAAGAGCTAAAAAAAAAGTTATTGGCTTAGGAAGTTAACATAAAATTCTAGAAATCTACCATCACTTGGGTCTGGGAGTTGGTTCAGAAAACAAACCTGTAGAAATACTACCTTCTAGTAATGACTAAGAGAGAAAAAAGATATTTTTTAAATAATGAATGCTAAAACAAGCTGATTCATGAGAATTAATGTGAATAACTTAACATCTAATTCTACATCAGTAATAAAGACTTACCAGAAAACAAATGTGCCCACAATTATGGCAGTGATTAACAACTGAGCTGACAGGAGGAGGAACACTTTTGCAATGAAAGCTGAGGAGATAGAAACACTATTTTAATGATACAATTATCAAAATTAAAAATATAAATGTAATTACCTACTTTGGATACTTAATGAAAGATATTTTCCCCATGATTTTTTTCTTTTTTTGAGGATTGGAAAGGGTAGGCTAGTTCACAGTCAGCAAATGGAAAAACAGCAAAAGTATAGCTCTGCAGAATTAAAGACTATTCCACCAAAGCCACTCAGAGTGGTGAGCAGCTATGGAATAGCCAACGCGGGAAAATTGTTCGAGCCCAGAAATTTGAGACCAGTCTGGGCAACAGAGGAGAAATCCTGTCTCAAGAACAAACAAACAAGCAAACAAAAGAATATTCAATTCAATTGTTAAAGGTGTCTTATTGGAAACCCCAAAATTTCAAAGACAAATTCAGGGACTTAATTCCTTATGATGTACACCTCATTCTCCTGAGGACCAAAAATGATCTGAAATCTCAGGATGTGGCCAGGCCAGCACTAAGAATCCAGCTGCACACTCACGCAGATGTTTCCTGCTCGGGAGATGGCCTTGGGCTGCAAAGAGTTTGCACAGATTTTCAGCCTTTTCTGTCTTCAGCCTACCTGCCCTCAGCAACTTTCTCCCTCCTACTGACAGAGGCAGAAAATAGTCAACCTGGAGAGTTGTGAGCTAGACCAAAGAGCTCCAAGTGGGTGACTTGCCAAACATAGTGCACACATACATGCTGGCCTCTCCTTTTGTTTATTTTCTACCACATGGGTTTTCCTGAGGCCCTCTGACTATGGAGCTGGCAGTGACAACTGTCTTCTTTTCTTCCTTTTTTGGGTGGCTTTATCCCAATTTTAAAAGGAAAAAGAAATGAAATAATGCTGCTTAAAGTTAACTTGTAAGATGGTCAGCTCTGTCCTTTTGCTGGACCATTTCTATGCAAAGGAAGTAAAATAAAAGAGTGGGACTGAGGGACTGAGCTTTCCTAATCCACATACCAGAACATATGTACTCAAATGTATGCTGCCTGCATGAAAATACTCATTTAGCTAACATTATTTTGGCATCTGATGTGCAGCAACAACTGTGTGGGATTAAATATTAAATGTGGTCCATCCAGCTTCATAAGAATGGGCATATAGGCCTGGGGATTTAGCTCAGTGGTGCCGCCGCCTGCCCTGAAAGCGCAAGGACCCGAGTGCAATCCCTGGTACCAAAAACACAAAAAAGAAAAAACAAGAATGGGCATATAGATCAGCTGGAGACCTTAGAGTTTATCCAGGGAAGCCCCAAAATTTCAAAGATAAACAAGAATTCCTAAATCTTCTGGACAATTTGGGAGTATGATTATGTCATGTTTCATGATAAAACATGAATAAGAAAAGCTAAACACAACATTACATCTTTCTGATACTCTACATTGTGGAAACATTTTAAGACAACATCTTCTCTTATAAGTTTTGTTTTTCTTTTTGCAGTACTGGGGGGTTGAACTCAGGGCCTTTGCACTGAGCTCCCCTCCACTCCCCTCTTTTTTAAATTTTAAACCAGAGTGTCACTAGGTCACTAAGTTGCCCAGGCTGGGCTTGAACTTCCAGCTTTAGCCTCCCAGAGTGTTAATATTACATATATGTGGAACCATACCCGTAATTTAGGTAATTTTGCAGGTAATACCTGTAAAGTAGGTAATTTCTTTCTTCTCATCTTGGCCGACAGATCTGTCTGAGAATGGACTGTGTATAGTTACACTGTTATCATTTGGGGTTGTATCATCTGAAATTTGTATCACCTAGGTATTCACTGGCTTGTCAGCCTTTGGGTTTGGATTTCCTTTAGCTTCCTTTGACATCTTTGCAGGTAAAGATGTGGAGGGCCAACCAGGTTGGGATGCATCTTCATCTACTGCTTTCTGAACTAGGTGCTGATGATCTCCAGAACTGAGGTCAATTGGCACAATGACCTCCAAGTCCATTTTCCTGGAGGGGAAAAAACTCTTTTCATGTCCTTATGATCAGACCTATACAACTCTAGCATCCTCATAACATTTAGGCAACAAGTTTTCTAATTTTAACTGTCTTGGTTTTCTAATTTTAACTGTCAGTGCTTACCAAGTTGGTGCTTAATAAATAATTATCAAATGAATTTGAACAAATATTTTTAAGATGAGGCCAAAGAGTCACATAATTTATATTCTATTATAGAATTAATATTTTTATAAATTCATTCAGCAAGGAGTCAAGGAACCCCAAGTATGGAAATTCCACCATTGTCTCTGCCCTCTAAAGAGCTTACATTTTGGAAAAGAAGATAAGCAGATGACCAGTAACCTGAAAGGCAATATAAGCAGATCAGGAACATGGGAGGATGATATGCCAGCCCTTCACAAAGTCTGGCAGGCAAGGTGTATAAGAGCTCCCAGAAAAGGTGGGATTTAAACCAAGGCTGGAAGTTGAGTTAGGAGCTGGTCAGATGCAGAGGTGGCGAAAGGTATTCCCAGGCAGAGGAATTAGCCTGGACCAGAACTGGGGGAAGAAACTGAAAGAAACTGGGGTTTCAAAAAGTGAAAGAGGCGGGAGTAGGGACTTCAAGAGGGTACTGAGGTTAAAAGGGGGCACCAGGAGCACATCACATGGGGTGGGCAACCCACCTTAAGGAGTCTGGACTTCATCCTGAAAGCCATGGGTGTTAAAGGCAGAATAATGGCCCCCTGATGATGTCCATACCCTAATCCTTGGAACCTGTGAACACTACCTTGCATGTCCAAAATAAAATTGAAGAAACAATTAAAGGCTTTGAGATGGGGAGATGATTTGGGATCCAACTGAATCACAAAGGTTCTTATGATCATACTTGTAAGAGGGAGACAAGAGGGACTAAGTCAGAGAAGGAGATCAGAGTGATAAAAGAGTTGTCCTTGAAGATGGAGGTAGGGACCATGAACCAAGGAATGTAAATGGCATCTAGGAGTAGAAAAGGCAAGGAAATCAATTTCCTCCTAGAGCCTTCAGAAATGAATGCAGTCCTGCTGGCACCTTGATTTTAGCCCAGTGAAACTAATTAAGATAATAAATTTGTGGGCTGGGGATTTAGCTTAGTGGTTCCACTGCCTGCCTCACAAGCGCAAGGTCCTGAGTTCAATCCCCCATACCAAAAATAAAGATAATAAATTTGTATCATTTTATGACATTAAGTGTATGATGATTTGTAAAAGCAGCAACAGGAAACTAATCCAATGGGCAATCACTGAAAGTTTTCAAGCAGGGGACCATGGGGCTCTAACTAGAAAGATCACTCTAGGTCTCCTGTAAAAATGGACCAGAGTAAAACTGAGTGGAAGCCAAGAGACAAGAAGTGCAGATGAGTGCGGAGGGTAGGCCCTGCCATACTTTGCCATACTTTGTAACCAGAACACAGTTGTTAGAAAACCTCTACAAGACGGACAAAAATGGCAAAGGAAAAGTCTTCCCTTCATCTCATGGGAAACATGTAGACTGAGGCACACCCTTTCTTGCAGCTTCTTGTCCACAAAGAGAGCCAATGGGGGAGGATGAAAAGAAAACTGGGGAGGGCCGGGGATTTAGCTCAGTGGTTCCGCGGCCTGTCTTGTAAGTCCAAGGTCCCGAGTTCGATCCCTGGTACCAAAAAAAAGAAAAAAGAAAAAAGAAAACTGGGGAGAGGGTAAAGGCTCAGACACTTGAAGGCCAAGTGAGAATGGCATCAATGGGAGGTCTGAACAAAACACCAGGCTCTTGGAGAAGAAGGTGTGTTTGGTAAACATTTTCCTTCTCAAAGTAGTATCTAAATTTTACAAGATCCATTAGGGTTTTTTTCATTTCTTGAAACTGTAATTCTAAAGTTCATGAGAAAGAGTAAATGTCAAAAATATTGAAAAAGCGAAGACAAAAAATTGAAAAAGAAAGATTGTGGGAGAAAGAGTAGTGATTTACTTTATCAGAATCAAAATATCATAAAGCTATATAATTAAAACTATAGTCTATCATGGAAGTAGATCAATGGAGTGGAAGAGATTAAAAAAAAGATGTATATATGAGAATTTAAAATTTGCTACAGGTAGAATTTCAAATTATTATTACATGGTATTGGAACAATTAGCTATTCACCTTGGAAAACTAAGTTTAAAAGCTATTTCATATGTTATATAAAAATATAGCCCAGATGGATTTAAAATATTATCATATATAATAATAACTATAAATATTCTACAAGAAATACTTATGTAAGCCCTTGTAGGAATGATATAAAAGAAACGTGAGCAAATCTGGTGTACAAGTACACTTTAGATACCATTACAAAAACTACAAATAAATCTGAAATACAAAATGATAAAAACATTTGCAATGTTTACTAAACTATAAAAAGGACTTTAACGGGGAAACTATGGACAGCCCAGTAAATGATAAGAACATAAATAGAAAATTCACAAAGAAAATGTAAATCTTAGGATATGATACCTCACAGATGACCAAAGAACTATGGATTAAAAACAACAGTGAAATGTCATTTTTTAAAGACTAGCAAAGATTATAAAGCTAATTCTCACAGTTACAAGAATATAAAGAAATAGAAAATCCAGGGCCACAATATGACTTGCATAGGGCCCACACATATTTGCCCTCATGGATTTCTCCTACAGAAAAAATTAAGTACACTGTAATACAAATAATTATAGCAAATATATTCAAATTATAAAAATTCAATATTTTATTTTTGAAATTATCTCTTTTGATTGCACTTCTATAAGTATGGATATTTTAGTCTGGATTCACTATATTTTAGATATTATTATATTGATTTTTTTTCTCCAAATTTTAAACAATGAAAATATTTTCATGGCCCACAAAACAATTTAGGTCCCAGACACTAAGCCTCCCGAGCCTAGGGATAAGGCAGCCCAGGGGTGCCTAACAGTGGTGTAAACTGATAGTTTAATAGCATTTCTGGAATGCATTACTTTAGAACCAATATTTCTGTTTTTAGGAATTTATCCCATAAATATACACAAATAAGCAAAGATGCATAAAAAAGGAAGTTCATTACATCATTCATTATTTATAGCTAATATCTATCAGTGGGGGAAAAAATTAATTTTGGCACAGAAAAAAGCAGATACATAAATATGTATAGATATAGATATAGACAGACACAGACACAGATATATAGCTATATCACTGTGGAAAGTTCACTGTGATAACTCTGAATTTACAACGAATACAGAAATTATTTAGCAAAGTTATGTTTACATTTTACACACAGGAGCATACATACACTTCTGGAGACTGAAAGATATGCTACAAAATATCATTAGGATGATCTGTGACACAGCAGAGCGGGGGGACACATTCTGAACTGTATGGATTGTTACAATGAAAATTTTTTAAAATGATAATAAATATATTTATATTTGGAAGAGAAAAAGAAGTACTTCTCCTTTTTATGACATCTAGAGCACCTCTGAGAAAGCAGCCCTCATACAAAGCTGAGCAGAACCAAAAGGTCTTCAGATACTCATGTGGATTTCCTCCCCAGTGCCCTGCAAAATAGAAGAGGGAGAGGCAGCAAGATTTTTTAATGCATTTAAAAACAATAAGCAATACCCAATAAGCAAAACCTAAAGGTAGTTGATTTTTCTGCACAAAACTACATCTGTCTAGTGCCTAAACCACAAAATGAGGTTTTCACCTCAAAAAAGCTGTGCTGAGCCAGCAGTCATCCAAAGGACAGGCAGGTACTGGAGGTGAGAGGCAAAGTCCGGTGACAGAGGAGTGGCAGTTGGAGCACGGGGTGGGGAGGGGCTCCTGTGCCCTAGGCTGGAGGCTCTAAAGTCCAGCTGAGTCTACCAAGACCAGTGCACTCTGTGTTGGGTCTCAGAGAAGCCGACATCTAAGCCTTCAAACCAATTCCATGTCAAAGGGAGAGAGACTGTCCACTTTCAAGTGGTGTCGCCCCAGCCATGTCATCGCTTTCTTTCCAGCAAGAATAAGATACTCATGGGACTTCGTAGAAGACAGCCTCCCACGATTCTGCATAATTATTTCCTACAAGTAAGATTTGCCCATGATAAAGTAGGCGTTGACTTTCTGGTGGAAATGATGATGTACTCCTTAGGGTACAGGGAGATCCTGCCTGCAGGCTGCAGATCATCGAGGAGCTGTGGAGGGGCCCAATTCAGGCTGCCAGAGAGAAGTCAGGCAACTAGGTAGGGAGCAGCCAGCAAGAGTCCCTCCTCCCTAGGAGGATGGGAGATTAGGAGGGGAATGGGAGTGGAAACCTGTCCTAAATGGAAGTAGCTGCTAAGACAAAGCTGATTGTTAACCCACTCATTAAACTGCTAATTAGGCAAAGAGAACACCTGAGCAAAGGCACAAGGGGGATGTGTCAGTTAAGGTTCACTAGAGGGACAGATTTTACATATATATATAATTTACAGAGTAGGCTTACATCAGCTGCCTGCAGAGTCAGAGGTGAAAGACTGTACAAGGGCCATCTGGCCATCTGTGTGCTGGACAGCCAGAGGATTCAGTCAAAACTCGAAGACCTGGAGCTCACTACAATACCGTGTGAGTCTGTATGGGGAACTGAAATGTCTACATTGGAAGATTAAAATCTGCTCTGGAAATCTGGAGACAGGTGTCCAAAGGTGATGGTGAAGACTGGAGCTCTTCTGAAGAAGCAAAGCAAGACTTCCTTCCTTCCCTTTTTACTCCATCCAGGCTACAAACCTATTAGTTGGTGCCACCCAGATCCAGAGTGGGTCTTGTAAGACCGAGGGCCTTACCAAATGCTCCAAGGAGCTGACTACAGAGAAGATCACCCGGGAGGAAACACACCGGACAGAATTGAGATGGTAAAAAAACAGACCTTTATTAGTCTAGCCAGATGGCACCCTCTAAGCAACAAGCTTAGAGAGGCCCTGAGCTCACGGGGTTGGAAGGTTTTATAGGGGCTGCAGGGGAGCTTAGCAAGCAGAACTACAGAAGTGGAATTTTTGCAGTTAGGGGAGTTTGCAGATGTTCTTTACTTATCTAACAGGATGTTCTTTACACAGAAACAATGGTACATTCCAGGGTGTCTTAACAGATAAACAAGTACATTCCAGGAACTCTGTGTCCTTTAGTGAACCCGAAACCCACAGGGACAAGATGGAGGGCCTGTAACAAGATGGCGTTACTTGTGCTAAGTCTCACCTGGGTCTTACAGTCTTCCCTCTTCAGTAAAGCAATCTCCAGACACACACGGAACTGTGCTAACCTAATCTGCTAGGCATTTCTTATTCAAGTTAGCACCACAATTAACTATCACAGATTTGTCCCATTAGGTTCTAACATAGAAGGTGCAGAAGACAGGCCCAGAGTGGGAGACAGAGAGGTCACACTGATCTTGAGGATGAAAAAGAAAAAGGCTGGGAAGAATACCTGCCTTGACTCTCTTCCTTGAACCTTCTCATAGTTTAGTGGCTCTCAATCTCTCTCTGTCCAGACCTCAGTCTTTCTCACTAGTTAATTATATTTTCCCCTGAAGTATAGTTAACATGATTTCCATGAGTACACATCAGGGGTATAACTGATGACTTGGCCTGTTTGATCAAAAGAAATACGTCTTCCTCTTCTCTCTTTCTTGTCAGCCTCTTAGTCCACATGAATCAGGCACTTATTAGATGTAAAAGACCTTACAGCCTCACATGTACTAACTCACTGAATCCTCACATTACCCCTATGAGGTGTGTTCTTTGGTTACCTCATTGGACAGGTGAGTAAACTGAACAGAGAGCCCATGGCAGTATTTCCTGAGAGACACAAGGCAGGAGTGTGAGTGGTCAAGGAGTCCTCTATCTTCTTATACACATCAGGAAATGAAGTGCAGTGAACTTATCTCTTTGAATATGCCTATATTTTATGCACATGGTCTTTTTTTAAAATCTTGAGAGTTTTAATACATATGACATGCAACATTTAAATCATGCAAATGAGACTATATGTTGACACTGACCATCCCCTGGGGCATTTAGCTGCTTATTCCTGTGCCTTAGTGTAAATTTTTATGACCTTGGGAAGTGTTATGGCTTGTGTCTAAATGTTCCCCCAAAGCCTTATGCTGTCACAGGTGGGGCTTTTCAGGGCGGCTGGATCTAGAGTGTGTGATGCTAGGATCAAGGGTGTGTGATTACTAAATTAGTCTACTGACTGGTATAGTTCTAGGCATAGTTCTAGGCAGGACTAAGGGTGCCCCATCCTGCCCTAAGGGCATGTAGCCTGGATAAAATATAAGGGACAGAGTGTCGTTGCTTGTCACTTGCTGCTTGCTGCCTTCTGTCTGCCCTGCCCTACTTTGCCATGGACTTTTTCTTCTCTGTGATGTCCCTCTTCTATGCCATCCTGACTTGGAGTCAGCCAACTATGAACTGAGACCTCTACAAACTGTGAGCTAAATAAACATTTCCTCCTTTAAATTTGGGTGTCATGTATTTTGTCTCAGCAATGAGAATAACTAAGACAGGAGGTATCAGTGTCTGCACTCACAGCTTACACACACCACCACGATTTTCTCAGACAGCCCATAGGTTTCATAACATTTCTATGTGTTCCAAAGAACTCTACCTCTGGCTCCAGGCTGTGTATCTCTTACTGTGCCTGAATATGTTCTCCAAACTCTTGTGTTGAAACTTAATCACCAATGTGACAGTACTAAGAGAGGGTGTCTAGAAGCTTGTTTAGTCATGAGTGTGAAACCCTAGTGAATAGGATTAGCTACCCTATAAAAGGGCTGAAGAAACTATCTTGAGCTTCGGCCCTCCCACCAGGTGAGGACACCAACACAGCCATCCATGAGGTACTTGCTGGCACCTTATTTCTGTGGCAGGCATGGTGGTGCATGCCTGTAATACCAGCATTCAGGAGGCTGAGGCAGAAGGATCACCACGAGTTCAAGGCCAGTCCGGTTACACAGTGAGACCATCTCAAAAAAACAAAAAACCCCCAAAAACCCAAAAAAAAAGTTCTGTTCCTTATAAATTACCTAGTCTCAAGTAATCTGTTATAAAACCACAAATAGACTAAGACATTGTGTCAGTCTGTGATGCCTTCGCTGGCACCGCAGGGAGCCATGGCCTGGCCACTGTGGCTCATGCTGTTCCTGAGGCACCAGCTGAGGGAGGAGGCATTAGGTAGGAGCCTTTATTGATGGTGCCTTCTTGAGTTCTACCCATTTCCCTCACCTCTCAACTTGACCCCCCTAGTCACCTTCTCAGCCTGGTCACTCCTATTGTCCCAACAGCACAGGGCTATATTACATTCTAAAATCTACATGAGAGTTCTGTGGTACTATAACTGATATAGGAGGTAGGGTGTAGCAAAGCTGGCTGTGGAAATAAGTGGGACCTATCAATTACAAGATCTCAGGACAGTGTCAAATAATCCCCAGGATCCCATATGTAGAACTTCTCTTGGATTCTCACGAGATGTGGGCTGCATATAAGGAAAAGATGCCGTGAGGAGGCCACTATGGTGACTCTTCATGATAGCCTGCTCTGTGTTTTCAGAGTGTACTTTTACTTTTGCTTTTATCCTTTCCTTTGTTTGGCCTAAATTCGCTCTGCAGAGCCAGTTTTTAACCCCTTCATTCCTCACTTTTCAAATAAACTTTTGCCACTGCTTTTTGCTTGTCCCATCTAATTCTTCGAGGCAAGAAGGACCTAGAATACTTTTAATTGGCAAGCCATTTCTAAAGGAACTACCGGACAACATAACCACTGCTGCTTGGCATAGCCTCATTTGTTGGATTAGAGCCACACCCAAGCACAGAAAGGGATGACACTCCACATGGCCCTGAGGCAGCCCTGCTTTTCAGAGGAGGAACTGAGCTTCAGAGAAGAGGACCACTGCCCGTTCCTGAAACAGGAATTCCCCACTCTGTATCCTGTCTCCTGTTATGATAGGAATTTTGAGGATCAAACGTCCTCCTTCTACATTTGATACTTTCTCTTCTTTTTAGTTTTAAATAACGGTAATGCATGCATATGGTGAAAAAAAGTCACCACTACAAAAGGGTGCAAAACAGTCCCCCCACCAACTACCACATTGGTATCAGTTTGTCAACTGTTTTCATAGTTCTAATGACTAAAAAAAGTGTACAACACATAGAAGCTCTTAATTTACACAAAGTGATCTCATGCTACTTACTATTCTATAGACTGCTTCTCTCTTAATAACACCTGAGTTTTTTTTTCTTATCAGCACATATAAGAACCTCCAACAGTCTCAAAATTAAATCCAATGTCCTTACTTTGGCTGCCATATCCTGATACTAAAAATCTCAGTCAAAGTATTAGTAACCCAAACACAATAATATGTACAAAAGGGTTATATATCACAACCAACTTGGGTTCATTCCAAGAGTTGCAATGTTCATTTAATATTCAAAAATCTATGTAACATTGTTGTGGCTTGTGCCCACCTAGATGTACCCACAAAGCCTCATGCAGGTGAGGTGGCTGAATCTGGAATGTGTGACGCAGGGATTAAGGATATGTGATTACTAAACCACTACATGTGAGAAATTGGATTGGCACTGCCCTAATTTCAGTAGTCTAAATAAGATGAAAGACACTGTTAAGGTCCCTTGTTGCTTTTGCTACCATGTGGGGGCCATGAACTGTCTCACCTCTGTGATGCCCCTCTGTTATGTGCCACTCTGCTTTGGAGCCAGCCGATTATGGACTGAAACTTCTACAACTGTAAGCCAAATAAACCTTTGTTCCCTTTAACTTTGGGTGTCAGGTTTTTTGTCTCAGCATTGAGGGAAAAGTAACACACAAACATACATTAATAAAGAAGAAAAAGTATTATGATGCTCTCACAGAGAAAAACACTTGATAAAACTGTACTCATTTATGATGATAGATATACAGATGAAAGGAATGTCCTTTACCCGATAAAAGGAATTTACAAAATCATTAGGGGTCAGTATAGTGATGGTGTCACTTTTTGCAAAAGTTACCTTTATTTCTAGATTTGGTTTTCTGAGTGTGGTCACTTTGTGATAGTTGAACTGTACACATACGAGTTGGCTAGTTTACAGTACATACTCCATTTCTAAAGGCTGTAAAAAACTTGTAACATATGTATATCTTCCTGATATATCTCAGAAGGGTAGAGGGTACAGGAAAGGGCATACAGGTATGTGAGTGGGAAGAGAAAGAATTGAGAAGCAGGGTGTTGAGTAATTACCTAGGTGGTTATGTGCCTAACCCAAGATGGTATCTTGTGAGTAGGAAGCTGGTGAACCAGAGGCCAAAGTTTTCACTGAATGAGAGGGAATAAGTTGGAGCTAAGGTACAGTCAGATGAGGGATACACCAGGAAACAAGGGATTTAGTGCCTAGATTCCCTCAGACAGTGGATCTTAGGGGGAGAAAAATTTCCCTCTACTCCCTTAGGTTTGGTGGTTGGGCCTGAGAATTAAACACAAAAAAGCACATAAATATTATTTATTGTTTTATTACTATTGTTTTACACATACAGGAGCTATTTCTAAAAAAAAAAAATGGAGTGGGAGTATAGCTCAGGGGTAGAATACTTGCCTACTAGCATGAGCAAGGTCCTTGTTCAAGCCCCAATATTGCAGTACATACATACATACATACATACATACATACATACAGTAAAAAAGAGACAGAAAGGAAAAATGAAGACCAGTGGAAGCTATCAGGCCTCACAGCTTATGTACCCCTTTAAACACAGCACAACAAATTGTGCAGATGTGACAAGGGTATGGGCTAGGACTAGGCATTTGTGGGGGAGTGACTCAGAAATATATGGAGGATATTAATGGAAGGTAAGGGTTACAAGTTTTAGTAAGACTTTCTTTGCAGCTTCATCTTTGCATCAACTCTTTCTGGTAATAGGAATACATGCTGTCTTCCTGGCCCAGGGAGGCATCTGCACAAGTTTCATGTCCTATGAAGCAGGTAGAAAGCCTGCTTCAGGAACTTTCCTGCATCTGTTTTTGCTCTGTTGTCCTCAGCTTAAAGAAATCTATATCTTTGCACAGGTTGCTCTAAAACTCTTCAGTACTGTTCCAAGTGAGGCAATGATTTTTTTTGGTACTGGGGATTGAACTCCGGTCCTTGTGCTTGCGGATCAGGTGGCAAAACCACTGAGCTAAATCCCCAGCTTTTTTTTTTTTTTTTGGACAGGGTCTCTGCTAAGTGGCTAAATTTCCCAGGCTAGGCTGGAACTTTGTAATCCTCTTGCCTCAGCCTCCCAGAGTGTTGAGATTAGAGGCCTGTGCTTTACCCTTGCTCCTCAACCACTTTTCTAGTTTGCCTTAATCTTTGTAACATTCCTGGAAAGTTACTTTATTTTACTGTTGAGAAACTCAGACTCGAGGCCATAGAGCCACAGCGCTTTGTGTGCCAAAGCTGTGCCCTGCCTAGAAGTAGTGCCCAGAGCAGTGGCCATGAGGACATCCAGTCCAAATCTCAACCGCCAGTTAAAATATGGATGATACTGTGTTCCAAGTTTGCCATAAACATTAAATGAGACTTTGTGACATCATAGGCGTTTAATACAGGTCTCTTCTTCCCCCACAAAGTCATCCAGATCTCTCCAAGGTCGCCAAAGCTGGGAAATCTGGGAAATCCGAGATCATCAGAAGGGTGTGCAAAGCTGCTCCTGCTGGTGAGATGAGAGAGGCAGACACCTTTCTCTGACAGGGGTAGTACCGGCTAGTACTCCCTTAATAGCAGCCCCTGGCTCCTCACACTGGCGTGGACTAGGCTGCTTGTCTGCTTCTGGTGCAGTTCTGTGACTTCAGGAGCTCGAGACCCTCTAGGGGATCCTCGGCATCAGAACCATTCATTTCCCGAGGACTCTAAGTCTAGCATTTGCCTTTACACTGCCACCCTCAGTGTGCATTCAGAGGCCACAAGACACACCCTGGCTCATCACCCTGTGGCTCATGAATGCGTGCCTGAGAGCTTAGGCCGTTTTAACTTCTAATGCATGAACAGCCTCGGGCACAGCCCTCATGAACAAAAGTATTGGGCAGAGGGTTCCAAACTCGAATTTTTAAGAGCGAAAAGGGTCCTGAGTAGGTCTGCCAGATTTAGCAAATAAATACACAAGATACACAGTTAAACATGGATTTCAGATAAGCGATTATCACGAGGGTTACACTCATACTAAAAAATTATTCATTGTAATGTGGCATTCAAGTATTTCACCTGACGTCGCGTACTTCACCCGGCCAAGTCGAGGGCTTGGAGGCCAGAAAGTATGAGACCCGCTCCCTCAGGCGACAGCCAGCTGAACTGCAGCGAGCGCTAGGTGGCTCGGGGGCACTTCCGGTCAGGCGGTGGGGCTGCGGGCGCAGGGCCCGCCCATCACCGGAAGTGTCCTCGGCTGGGCTGCTCCGCTAGCTCGCTCGCTCGGTGCCCGGCATCGTCCGCACCCTGCGGGCCGTCCGGCCCTGGTGCTGGGCCCGGGCCAGTGGAACCTGCTTCCGCCTCCAGGAGGCAGCGGCGTGGCCTGGTGCCTGGCGGACGGCCCCCCATCCTTGCCCTCGGCCTTTCCGCTCTTCTGTTAGCCGGGGTGGCGGGCCGACCAGCGGGCGGCCGGGACAGGCGGCCGCCATTCCCGTATCGCTGCGCCCACGCGGGCTGCCCGAGCCGGCCACCATGCCGCTGGGCCTGAAGCCCACCTGCAGCGGTTGCAAGACCACGTCATCTTCCATGTGGAAGAAAGGCCCGCAGGGCGAGATCCTCTGCCACCACTGCACTGGCCGGGGCGGCGTGGGCGGCGGCTCGGGGGCGGCCGGTGGGACAGGGGGCAGCGGCAGCGGAGGCAGCTTCAGCGCGGCGACCTTTGCCAGCACCTCGGCCGCGCCTGCGCAGAGCAACGGGGGCGGGGGAGGCAAGCAGGTGAGCTTGGCGCGCGGACGGTCTCGGTACCCCCTGGGCCTGGTTGCCCTGCCCACCCCGAGGGATCGGGGCCGGGGCCACGTCCCCAAGCATCTTTTCCAGCATGGGAAATTCAAAGGGTACAGAAACCCGAAAAGGCCCTTTAGAAATCTACACGCTGTAACAGTATTTTCAGTGGCAGCTGGATGTCCGCTTATACCCTTGTTTTGGGGTCCTGCCACATATGTTGTACTTACACACCTTCCCCGTTATGTTTTATTATATGTTAAATAATTATGTCATTTAAAATGGCATAAATATTCCATCGTAGGAGGTGCTGTAACCCGAAGTTACGTTTTTTTCTCAGTGACAAATGCAATAAATCCGTAGTTCCCACCTTGGCCTACATGTCTTCCTGTCCTCTTCTGTACTGTAAGCAGCTTACACTCCTTTGAGGCTCGGAGATGCTTTCCTAGGTTCTTGCCTGGCTTGTCTTAGCTTTTAAATTTTAAATATCCTTCCAAAGTGTACACCGTGGGAGCCTTGTAAAATGGCTGTATCGGGACAGCAACCTATCTACAGTTTTTCTTTTTGTTCTCTAATTGTTTACGTAACAGAGTAAGCAGGAAATTCACAGGCGGTCTGCACGGCTCAGAAACACTAAATACAAATCTGCTCCAGCTGCTGAAAAGAAAGTCTCCACCAAAGGAAAAGGAAGAAGACATATTTTTAAACTGAAAAATGTAAGATGATTGTGGCCAGTGTTGTGCTGTAATGTGGGTATTTTTGTGTCCTCCACTGCCTTTGTTTTTCACCGTCGAACATGACTGCACTATACTATTAATACATTTTTTCCTTTTTTACTGTATTTTTTTCCTTTGGGAAAATAAAAGTCTAAGAGAAACATCAACCTTGAACACATTTTATCAGATTAGTCTGTGTAAAGGAAGAGAAAGATTATGATTTTGATATGCCCAGATACCCTAGGAAAACTTTTTCTTTGTCCTTTAAAGATTCAAGTAAATAATAATTAAACTCATTTTCATATCTGTTATTATAGCCCCAGGAAATTTATCTTTTGATTTATAGTGATGAAGTTGATGCATAATGATGAATGAGAATTATTCCTAAACATTTATTTCCTCTTCTGCTATACAAAATGGAGGAGAGGCTGGAGGTAGTCACAAGTGCATTATTGTTGCAGTAAGTTTTATTTTTTGTAAACACAAGGGCACAATGGGAAATGCATTATAGACTTAAAAAAAAGAACCTTCAGCATAATACTCATTTCATTCACCAATAGAGGCATTTCTGAAGTTGGGTATTTTCATTTATGAAACACAGAGGGTCCGGTGGTAGATTCTTATGCAGATTGTGAATTCTTAATGAGAATAACTGCTCCTAATTTAAGATTTTTATAATTTAATTTTCATAAAATGAGGCATTTGTTGACTAGGCAAAACATAAGTTCATATATTTATATCCTTGGCATGTTTTCCTTTTTGTACTACAAACTGTTCTCTTCAGTTATTTCACTATCAGTATCTCTGCAGCCCCTTCAAAGACTGTAACCAAGACAGATGGGAGAGGCTTGCTTTTAATGTTGTAGCATTGGAGTGTATATTGCAGCTTGAGAAGGTATTTCAGTGATGGTTGGAATGTGGCAGATTACTAAAGACTCCCAGGAATGTTTCTAAAGCCTCAGTTCAGGCTTGCTACAAAATTGATGAGTAACCTGGCAGGCTCCAATGCTGAGATGGACCATGTCTTCAAGGAGACATTTTTTCACTTTGTACAGTATTCACCTATGAATTTTTTATTACTTCTGTTGTGTCGTGCTTAGTCCATTAGAGGCAGAAATTTTTATAATTGGAATGATGATGTCTAATGGAGCTCTGAGAGAACTTTGTGTAGATCTCAGCAGCATGATCAGAAGCTTGTCCCCTGTTTCTCAGCAATTTTTAAGCTAATTGTAGCATAATAATGGAAATACTTAGACTATGCTTTGCCACAACACAGAAAATTATTCATCCTTTCATTGTGATTCTTGTCTCCAAACAAAATTTAGAATTTCTCAAATTATCCAGGTTTCATATCTGGCTGGAAAAATGCCTATTTACACTATAGGTGCATGCATTCCATGAATGTGCTAATGTTTTACTCATTTTTTTTTCATAGCCCATCAAAGCTCCCGAGTCTGTTTCTACCATCATCACTGCAGAATCTATCTTCTACAAGGTAAGCGTCTGTGAAGAATTGAGCCTGTGGTATATAATATGCTTAATCTAAATGTCTGCTATTCTTTTTTTTTTTTTTTTTTTTGGTGCCGGGGATTGAACTCGGGTCCTTGCTCTTGCAAGGCAGGCGGCGAAACCACTGAGCTAAATCCCCGGCCCAACACATATGTTTTTATTTGTTGATAAGACAATGATTTGGTGTTATCAATGGGGGGTTCTGAAGATATTTAGTGTTTTTTGAATTGCCAACTCATGGAATAAGAACTTGTATAATTTTATTAGAAACCAAAATATATAAGAAAGTCTAATATCTAATCATTAAATATGATGCCAATGGTACATTTTCTTGAAGTTTTTTTATGTGATGAAACAAATTCCTTATGTTCTTTGTTTGCTAATAATAATTTGACCATTAATATTTTGAATTTGAATCTGATGTTGCCTCTGCATCTATTGAGATGATGTACTTTTTTTCACTTATCCACAAATTAAAAACTCACACGTACTTAAAAATATTAATCAGAATGAGCTTGATCATTGATTCCCAGTTGTGTTATTTAGGTTTTCATTGCTGTTAAAAAATACATGATAAAAACTAATAAGTAAAGAAAGTTTATTTTGGCTTAATGTTTTGGATCATTCAGTCTAGAATCATTTGGCCTCTTTCGTGGGGATTGTGGTGAAGCAGAAAATGGGCATAATCACTTACTTCATGGTCAGGGTATAAAAAAAGAGGAAGAAAGTGCATTTTTATAATCCTCTTAAAGGGTAAGTACCTATGATCTAATGATGTTCCTGTCGGCCCTAAGTCTTAAAAGTTCCACCACCTCTCTACAGTGTCAAACTACAGATCAAAACTTTAATACATAAGCCTTTTATGGAATTTCCAGATCCAAATTTAGTACAGTACCTCTATACCCAAAAAATTCATGTCCACTTTGCAATTCAAACTATATTCAGGCAATTTTCAGGAGTCCCAAAGTCTGATCCTTTCCAGTGTGGCTCAAAGTACAATTTTGAAGTCTTCACTGAGACTCAATGAAAATTTAGAGTTGTGTGCTCCTGTGAAAAACTAAATTCCAAGTTATATGCATCCAAAATGAAATGGTATGACAGATACAGGGTAAACATTCACATTCAAAAAAAAGGAACAGGAACATATAAAAAACATTAGTCTGAAGTAAAATGGAAACCCAATAAGGCAAATATTAAATTCTGTGGGTCTATGGGTAGCATCCGGAACAAATTGTGTTAGGGTACGTAAAGGCTCCCAAGATGTTTAGATGCCCTCCCTTATATCCTTGCTGGCTGCAGCCTAGATGGTCTCTCTCTTAGACAAATTTTGCCTAGTGCTTTCAAATTCCTTTGTTAGACACCAGTGTTCCTTGCACTTCTTCTATTTTTGAAGTCTACATTATAGTTTCTGCTTTCTGTGCATTCCTGTAGATATTTTGCTCTTCTGAGTCCTCACTAGACTGGCCTATCAAGCTCCACTTAGTGTATACTAGAATTTTTTTAATTCTGCTCCTCTAAACTTTTAAAATGTTCAACATTAAGCAGTTCCAAAGCTTTTCCATGTCATTAATGGTGAAGATCTTATTTCTGGGTACTAGGTTGTCCCGGCCCGCGGGTAAGTCAACGAAGACCCTAGAGGGGGAGCGAGGATGAAAGGGGACAGGGGACATGAGAGATGGAGACAAGACAGGTTTCTGATCAAGTCTCGTTTATTGCAGAAGCTG